ATCGAGGTCAAGAGTTTGAGACCAGCCTGGCCAACATGGTGAAAGCCCATCTTTACTAAAAATACAAAAAGTAGCCAGGCACGGTGGTGTGCACGTGTAGTCCCTGCTACTCAGGAGGCTGAGGCAGGAGAATCGCTTGAACCTGGGAGGCGGAGGTTGCAGTGAACTGAGATGGCGCCACTACACTCAGTCTGAGTGACAGAGCAAGACTCCATCTCAAAAGGAAAAAAAAGAAAAAACCAAGTATCTGGGACTAAAGGCTACCCAGGCTTTTTTTTTTTTTTTTTTTTTTTTTTTCATCTTCCTTCCCTGCCCCCTCACCAAGCTAAATTTTAAATTTTTTGTAGAAAAACAGGGTCTTGCTATGTTGCCCAGCCTGGTCTCAAACTCCTGGACTCAAGTGACACTTCCACCTCAGCCTTCCAAAGTGCTGGAATTACAGACAGGAGCCACCTCACTCAGCCTCTCCTGTCTTCTGACTATGATGCAAGAGTTCCTCCAGGGTACACGAAACCCACCCTGTAATTAATTGGGATCTGGACTCTGCCCTCTTATAAAAACACTCCCAAAACCTCCATCCACAGAAGGATGAGTAACATGAATCAAAGTGTCCCCTATAATGGAATGAAACTTGGCAATAGAAAGGAACAGACTACAGCTACGCTCAAAACAGGGACTAATCTCAAAAGCACGCCAAACAAAGGAAGCCACAAAAAGCACACACTGTATGATTCCATTTATAGAACATTCTAGAAAACACAAGCTAATCTGTAGTGACAGACAGCACATCAGTGGTTGCTTGGAACAGGCCGGGAGGGATGCTGGATGAACTACCCAGCATAGCCACTGGCTCAGGTGAGGGCCAGGTGACTGTAGTTCCAGCTACTGGGGAGGCTAAGGTGGGAAAATCCCCTTGAGCCCAGAAGTTTGAGTCCAGCCAGGGAAACATAAAGAGACCCCATCTGTAAAAGAAAAATAAATAAATAACAAATACAGGCCGGGAGCGGTGGCTCACGCCTATAATGCCAGCACTTTGGGAGGCCGAGGTAGGTGGATCACGAGGTCAAGAGATCGAGACCATCCTGGTCAACGAGGTGAAACTCCGTCTCTACTAAAAATACAAAAATTAGCTGGGCATGGTGGTGCATGCCTGTAATCCCAGCTACTCTGGAGGCTGAGGCAGGAGAATTGCTTGAACCCGGGAGGCGGAGGTTGCGGTGAGCCGAAGATCGTGCCATTGCACTCCAGCCTGGGTAACAAGAGCGAAACTCCGTCTCAAAAAAAAAAAAAAATACATATATATTTTTAAACTGCAAGTTTTTTTGTTTGAGACAGAGTCTTGCTGTGTTGCCCAGGCTGGAGAGCAATGGTTCAGTCTCAGCTCACTGCAACCTCCACCGCCCAGGTTCAAGCAATTCTCCTGCCTCAGCCTCCGAAGTAGCTGGGATTACAGACACGTGCCACCATGCACAGCTAATTTTGTATTTTTAGTAGAGATGGGGTTTTGCCATGTTGGCCAGGCCAGTTTCGAACTACTGGCCTCAAGTGATCCACCCACCTCAGCCTCCCAAAATGCTGAGATTACAGTTGTGAGCCATTGTGCAGGGACATACTTTGTTTAAGCTAGTAAATTTGGGGGTAATTTGTTACAAAGTAATAGTTAACTCACATTCTAAAATCTTAGAAGCTGGGTAGTAAATAACAAGTACTGAAGCCGAGCGTATTGTCTCAGGACTGTAATCCCAACACTTTGGGAGGCTGAGGAAGGCAGGTGAATCACCTGAGGTCAGGAGTTCGAGACCAGCCTGGCCAACGTGCTAAAATCCCATCTCTGTTAAAAATACAAAAATTAGCCGGGTGTGGTGGCCAGTGCCTGTAATCCCAGCTACTCAGGAGGCTGAGATAGGAGACTCGCTTGAACCCAGCAGGCGGAGGTTGCGGAGGTTGCAGTGGGCCAAGATCGAACCACTGCACTCCAGCCTGGGAGACAGAGAAAGACTCCATCTCAAAAAAAAAAAGCTTATTTCAGCATGTGGTTGCAAACAAATCCCCAGGGGATGAATCCCAAGAAGCCTCTCAGAAGACAGGAAGTAGGCCGGGCGTGGTGGCTCATGCCTGTAATCCCGGCACTTTGGGAGGCCAAGATGGGAGGATCTGCTTGAGCCCAGGAGTTTGAGACCAGACTGGCCAACATAGCAACACCCTGTCTCTACAATAAATAAGTAAAGAATTCACCAGATGTGGTGGTACATGCCTGTGGACCCAGCTACTTGGAAGAAGAGTGAGGCAGGAGGATCACCTGAGGCCAGGAGTTCACGGCTGCAGTGAGCTAGGATCACACCACTGCATGCCAGCCTGGGCAACAGAGGGAGAAAAAAAAAAGGAATGAAGAAGGAGGAGGAGGAGGAAACAAGAAGGAGAAGGAGGAGGGGAAGAAAGAAAGAGGAAGGAAGAAAGGAAGAAAAAGAAGAGAGAGAAAGGAAAAGAAGAAGGTAGGGTTTAGTGGCGCATGCCTGTAATTCCAGCACTTTGGGAAGCTGAGGCAGGAAAATCGTTTGAACCCAGGAGGCGGAGGTTGCAGTGAGCCCAGATCCTGCCATTGCACTCCAGCCTGGGCAGGACTCTATCTCAAAAAATAAAATAAAATAAAGAGGAAGACAGAAAGAATCACTCCAAGGAGAGACAGCCTTTCTCAAAGGTCCCTTCCTTAAAGAGGTCTTCAAGGAAACCCTCATCCCCTGCTACCCCTTCACCTTGTTTGCTTATATACACAACAGTTGTCACAGACTGGCAATACCTTGTTCTTTCTTCCTTTTTTTTTTTGAGACAGAGTTTCTTGTTGCCCAGATTGGAGTGCAATGGCTCACCACAACCTCTGCCTCCCAGGTTCAAGCAATTTTCCTGCCTCAGCCTCCCCAGTAGCTGGGATTATGGACATGCGCCACTAATTACATCCAGCTAATTTTGGTTTTTTTCGTTTTTTTTTTTGGAGACGGAGTTTCGCTCTTGTTACCCAGGCTGGAGTGCAATGGCGCAATCTCGGCTCACTGCAACCTCCGCCTCCTGGGTTCAGGCAATTCTCCTGCCTCAGCCTCCTGAGTAGCTGGGATTACAGGCACGCGCCACCATGCCCAGCTAATTTTTTGTATCTTTAGTAGAGACGGGGTTTCACCACGTTGACCAGGATGGTCTCGATATCTTGACCTCGTGATCCACCCGCCTTGGCCTCCCAAGGTGTTGGGATTACAGGTGTGAGTCACCTCGCCAAGCCTTGTTTGCTTGTTTTTAAGAGCTGTATTCGGCTGGGTGTGGTGGCTCACACCTGTAATCTCAGCACTTGGGGAGGCCGAGGCAGGTAGATCAGCTGAGGTTGGGAGTTTGAGACCAGGCTGACCAGCATGGAGAAACCCTGTCTCTACTAAAAGTACAAAATGAGCTGGATGTGGTGGTGCATGCCTGTAATCCCAGCTACTTGGGAGGCTGAGGCAGGAGAATCACTTGAACCTGGGAGGCGGAGGTTGCAGTGAACTGAGATCGTGCCTCTGGCACTCCAGCCTGGGCAAAAAGAACAAGACTCCATCTCAAAAAAAGAAAGAAAAAAGGCTGACTGCAGTGGCTCACGTCTGTAATCCCAGCACTTTGGGAGGCCAAGACAGGCGGACCACAAGATCAGGAGTTTGAGACCAGCCTGACCAACAGGGTGAAACCCCATCTCTACTAAAAACACAAAAATTAGCTGGGCATGGTGTCGGGCACCTGTAATCCCAGCTACTCAGGAGGCTGAGGCAGGGGAATCACTAGAACCCAGGAGGCGGAGGTGGTGGTGAGCCAAGATCGTGCTACTGCACTCCAGCCTGGGTAACAGAGCAAGACTTTGTCTAAAAAAGCCAGTTCTGTGTGGCCACCCAGGCTGGTGTGCAGTGGTGCAATCACAGCTCACTGTAGCCCCCAGCTCCCGGGCTCAGCAATCCTCCTGTCTCAACCTCTCAAGTAGGTGGGACTACAGGTGCACACCCCACACCTGGCTCATTTTTATTCACTTATTTACTTATGTTTGAGATGGAGTCTCGCTCTGTCACCCAGGCTGGAGTGAAGTGGCGCCATCTCAGCTCACTGTAATCTCTGCCTCCAGGTTCAATCAATTATCCTTCCTCAGCCTCCGGAGTAGCTGGGATTACAGATATGTGCCACTATGCCCAACTAATTTTTCTATCATTTTTATTTATTTATGTATTTACTGTAGAGATGGGATCTCACTATGTTGCTCAGGATGATCTCAAACTCCTGGGCTCAAGCGATCCACCCACCTTGGTCAGCCTCCCAGATTGCTGGGATTAAAGGCATGAACCACCTCACCTGGTGTCATTCATCTGTCTCCAAGCTAGGTTTCTCTCTCTCAGGACCGAAGCACTCACAGAGTCGGGAACCCTGCTCATCCTCGCCTGCAGGAAGCTTCAGGTGCTCTTAAAGATCTACCAAACGTGTAAGGAACGTTTGTTTTTGGACTCCCTGTGGTGGTGCCCAGAGGATCCCTGACTTATGAGTTTCCAACCCTAGAAGGTTTGGGTCTCATGCTGTCTGTAAGACCTGGTCAATGTCAGGACTTCTTTTACCCCGTCGGGGATGACTTTCCCTCTCCCACCCTAAGTCCAGGTAGGAACATTTCTATGGATGGTTTTTATTTTGTTTTGTCTTGTTTTGATTTGTGATGTAGTCTCATTCTGTCACCCAGGCTGGAGGGTGGTGGTTCGATCTTGGCTCGCTGCAACCTCTGCCTTCCGGGTTCAAGCGATTCTCCTGTCTCAGCTTCCCAAGTAGCTGGGATTACAGGCTTGAGTCACCATGCCCAGCTAATTTTTGTATTTTTAGTAGAGACAGGGTTTCACCATGTTGGCTAGGCTGGTCTCAGGTGATCTGCTCACCTTGGCCTCCCAAAGTGCTGGGATTACAGGTGTGAGCCACCATGCGCAGCCCAACTCTTCAGCACCCGGTATCCTAGGCAGTCTCCCATCCAAGTACTAACCAGGTCTGACCCTGCTTAGCTTCCAAGATCAGACAAGATCAGGCACTTTCAGGGTGTTATGGCCACAGACATATCCATGGTGTTTCAGACCAAGAGCCAATCAAGGTCCAACTCCACAGGTTTACTCATCTAAGACTCAGCTCAGGCCTCCCTAGGTGGGGTGGCCAGGGTAGGGGTGGGGAGGCAGGGAAGCTGGGCTCTGAGAGCCCTCTAGCCACTGTGGTCCCCCACCCCCCACCTGGAGGGCAGGTCACAAGGTTAGACAGGAGGGCATTCCCACTCTATTCAACTTCCATTGGTTCAGCCCAGTTCCTGCCCCATGGCCAGAGCTCCAAGGGAGAAGCTCTCCCCTCCCCTCTCCTCTCTTCCCCCAATTCCACTCCCAGCACCTGAAGACTCAAGTCACCTGTGCCTTGATCGGGCTTTAAGGCCTGGTGACTGGGCCTTGGGGAGCTGGAGGAAGCCTTTCCACACCTTTTGTTGAGACAGGGTTTTGCTTGGTCACCCAGGCTGGAGCGAAGCGGCATGATCATAGCTTGCTGCAGCCTCTCGACTTCCCAGATTCAGGTGATCCTCCCACCTCAGCCTCCAGAGTAGCTGGAACTACAGGCACACACCACCACACCTGGCTAATTTTTAAAATTTTGTGTTTTTTAGGTTTTAACGTTTTTGGTAGAGCTACGGTCCCACTATATTGTTGAGGCTGGTTTCAGACTCCTGGGCTCAAGATATCCTTCTGCCTTGGCCTCCCAAAGTGTTGGGATTACAGGCATGAGTCACAGAGCCGGACCTCCACTCTTTCTTGACAAGGTCTGTAAAAGCAGGTTCCCAGAAGGGTGGCGGTAGAGTGGCTTTGGGAGTTCAGGGTCTCCAGCTTTCTCATTTTCCCCTGCCGCCATGGTCCAGAAAGACTGCAGAGTTGCAAAGTTCTAAGACCCCCGCATCTCCCGCCAGCGCCGAGCCCACCGGGGCAGAGTAGGATACCACCACTCTCTCTCCCTCAACCCCGCAGATCCCGCGGCGCCCGGAGCAGGGTCGACCTGGGTGCGCCTGCGGCGAGGCGGGGCCGAGTCGTCCGGGGGCGGGGCGGGACGGGGCAGCTCCCGGGCTCCTGTCCCCGCCTGCCCTGACTCACCCTCGCGGCCCGCCCAGGAACTCTGCGGGAGTCCCGGCTGCTCCGCTTTGCCGCTTTCAGGGATCCAGGAGTTGGGCCCAGCGTCCCTCCCGGAATAGTGAGTAGGTGGCTCTTTGCCTCTGGGCACCCCGAGGTGGCGGGGTGGGAGTCGGGCTGGGAGTCCCAGGGCAGAGCCGCTCCAGGTGCGCTGGCCTTGTGGCTGGGGCGGGCCGCCAGGACACACCAGGAGTGAGTCGGGGTGCGGGCGCGGGCAAAGGGAAACCTGACCCACGAGGTGCTGGTCCTGGGAGCCCGGCAGGCCTGGCCAGCGTCTCCAGATGAAGATCAACAGGCTGGATTTGACTTTGGGGGTCTCCACCACTTTCCCTTCCCCTTGGCATCTGGGAAGACATTGACAACTCATCCCGGGGAGCTCCTCAGAGCCCCAGAACCTACCACTTGGGATGGGTTCAACCAAGCCTGACCTCTGGTGCTCTTGAACTTATAGATGTTCAGACCTTCACGTCTGTTAGGAGAGGCAGCTTGGGAAAGACCCGGCTGGGAGTCCACAAGCCTGGGGCCTGGCCCGGGATGGGCTACAAAGATGCCACCCTCCCCCACTCTAGACCCTCAGTTTCTCCTTTGTATAAAAAGTTGAGGCTCAGCTGGAGACCGTTGTTTATGCCGGCAATCCCAGCACTTTGGGAGGCCAAGGTGGGCGGGTCATCTGAGGTCAGGTGTTGGAGACCATGACCAACATGGTGAAACCCCATCTCTTCTAAAAATACATAAATTAGCCAGGTGTGGTGGCGCACCTCTAGTCCCATCTACTTGGGAGGCTGAGGCATGAGAGTCACTTGGACTCCAGAGGTGGAGGTTGCAGTGAGCTGAGATTGCAGCACTGCACTCCAGCCTGGGTGACAGAGCAAGACTCCATCTCAAAAAAAAAAGTCTGAGGCCAGGTGGAGTGGTTCATGCCTTTAATCCCAGCACTTTGGGAGGCTGAGGTAGGAGGATCACTTGGGCTCAGGAGTTCGAGACCAGCCTGGGCAACATAGTGAAACCCCATTTCTACAAAAAATGGCTGGGCATGGTAGTGCACACCTGTAGCCTCATCTACTGGGGAGGCTGCTTCCAGCTCTTCCATTCCCAGGGACCCAGGAAGGGTTGGCAGGAGGATCACTTGAGCCCAGGAGCTCGAGGCTGCAGTGAGCTATGATTGCACCACTGAACTTCCAGCCTGGGTGACAAAGCAAGAACCTATCTCATAAAAAAAAAATGGTTGGAACATGTGTTCTTCGAAACCTCTCAGGGCTTATAACTGTCGCATGCTTCTTCCTTCTCCTTGGCCTCTTAGCATGGGCTGTGGGTGGGGAGGGTCTCACTCTCCCACCCTTCCCGAAGCAGGAACTCACCACCACATTTTTTGTAGGTAAGTGGCTTGAGGAGGACCTGGGAGGGAGGAGGGGTGAGGCATGGGTGTATGGAGCCAGAGCTGGTGGGGGCCACATGGTCTTAGCGGGCAAGACCTCGCAGCCTGGCCTGCTGCAACGCCACACCGCTCTTAGGTGCTTTTGGCAAAGATGCTGTGCCTTTTTTGTTGTTGTTTATTTGATTTTTGAGATAGAGTCTTGCTCTGTCACCCAGGTTGGTGTGCAGTGGTGCAATCATGATTCATTGCAACATCCTGCCTCAGCTTCCCCAATAGCTGGGATTATAGGTGCCCACCACAGTGGCCAGCTAATTTTGTAGTTTTGGTAGACACAGGGTTTCATCAAGTTGGCCACGCTGGTTTCGATCTCCTGAACTCAATGATCTGCCCGTCTTGGCCTCCCAAATCGCTGGGATTATAGGCGTGAGCCACCGCACCCAGCAAGATGCTGTATTTTAGTGAGAAGCTGTCTCTCAAGAAGGAACAGGGTGCTTGCTATCCTACAGGCAGGACTTGGAGCTTGGATAGGTCAGGCTTTGAAGGCCACTTGGAACTGTAGAAGCTTGAGCAAGTTATTTCTCTTCCCTGAGTCTGGAAAGCAGAGTCCCCAAATCCATGCTGCCTGAGTTTGGATAAAATGAGGCGTTGAGAGTGTCTGTGGAGGAAGTTAAGCGTGGTCCCTGTGGTTGCATTTTCCCTGGCTCTGCCCCAATTCTTCGAGCTCCTCTTTCTGGATCTTCCCACCAGCCCTGCTCAGACAAAGTGGGAGCCTGTCTTGTCTGTGGAAATTTAATGGCAGGTTTGGGATGATCAAGTTTGAGTCATGGAGACAGATAATGATAGCCCTGTGGCTGCCCCCAGTCCCCTGAATGTTTCTGTCTTCTTGTCCGTGATTGTGCACCTGGGATGGGTGTTGGTGGAGCTTACACCAGGGTGGACAGGAAGTTGGTCCCTGCGTGTGTGTGTGTGTGTGTGTGTGTGTGTGTGTGTTGTGTGATTTCTTCTGCAGCCTCCAGAGTAAGGAGGGTTTTTTTGTTTGTTTTTTATTTTTTTATTTATTTTTTTATTTTTTTCTTTTTTTAAGAGACGGGGTTTCTCCATGTTAGGCTGGTCTCGAACTCCCAACCTCAGGTGATCCGCCCACCTTGGCCTCCCAAAGTGCTAGGATTACAGGTGTGAGCCACTGCGCCTGGCCCATTTTTTTTGAGATGAAGTCTTGCTCTTTCACTAGTCTGGAATACAGTGGCAGCTCACTGCAACCTCTATCTCTGGGGTGCAAGCGATTCCCCTACCTCAGTCTCCTGAGTAGCTGGTATTACAGACAGGCATTACCACACCCGGCTAATTTTTTTTTTTTTTTTTTTTTTTTAGTATAAATGTGGTTTCACCATGACCAGGCTGGCCCCAATCTCCTGACCTCATGATCTGCCCGTCTCGGCCTCCCGAAGTGCTGGGATTACAGGAGTGAGCCACCTCACCTGACTTTTTTCTTTTCTTCTTTTTTCTTTCTTTTTGAGACCAAGTCTCACTCTGTTGCTTAGGCTGCAGTGAGTGCAATGGCACGGTCTCGGCTCACTGCAACCTCTGCCTCCCAGGTTCAAGTGATTCTCCTGCCTCAGCAACCTGAATCTCTGGGACTATACGTGCCTGCCACTTTGCCCAGCTAATTTTTTTTTTTTTCCTAGAGACAGAGTTTCACTGTTTTAGCCAGGATAGTCTAGATCTTCTGACCTCATGATCCTCCCACCTTGGCCTCCCAAAGTGCTGGGATTACAGGCGTGATTCACCACGCCCAGCTTTATTTATTTTTGAGAGAGTCTCACTCTGTTGTCCAAGCTGGAGTGCAGTGGTGAGATCTCAGCTCATTGCACTTCTGTCTGCTGAGTTCAAGCGATTTTCCTGCCTCAGCCTCCCAAGTAGCTGGGACTACAGGTGCCCACCACCATGCCTGGTTAATTGTTTTTGTATTTTTAGTGGAGACGGGGTTTTACCATGTTGGCTAGGCTGGTCTCGAATTCCTGACTTCAAATGATCTGCCCACCTTGGCCTCCCAAAGTGCTGGGATTACAGGCAAGAGCCACTGTGCCCGGCCCAAGTCAGTAGTGTTTTATTTTCTGTTTTTAAGATAGGCTGTTGCTCTGTTGCCCAGGCTGGTTCATGGCTCACTGCAGTCTCTAACTCCTGGGTTCAAGCAATCCTCCCACCTCAGCCTTCCGAATAGCTAGGATTACAGGCATGCACCAGCACACCTGGCTAATTTTGTATTTTTAGTAGAGATGGGATTTCTCCATGTTGGTCAGGTGGTCTCAAACTCCCGACCCCATGTGATCCACCTGCCTTGGCCTCCCAAAGTGCTGGGATTACAGGCGTAAGCTGCCGTGCCTGGCTTTTTTTTTTTTTTTTTTTTTTTTGAGACAGGGTCTTGCTCTGTTACCCAGGCTGGGGTGCAGTAGTACAGTCTTAGCTGACTGCAACCTCTGTCTCTCCGGTTCAAGGAATTATCTACCATGACCAGCTAATTTACATATTTTTCCTTCACCATCTTGGTCAGTTTGGCTAGTCTCAAACTCCTCACCTTAAGTGATCCACCCACTTTGGCCTCCCAAAGTATACTTGGCTTTTTGTATAGGGCAGGGGGTGTGAAAGAATGTGAGGGGCGGGCCATGGTGTGAGGGACCCTGTGCTCTGAGCACTCTCTTGCACATATCTGGGTCTGGCTGAATCACCACCTGAGTCAGGGGACCCATGACATTTTAGGCTTCATGGTGAGTCTGGGTGTGGGCAGGCTATACCAACCCCGTTGCCTGCCTATTCAATCCCCCAGACCAGAGTAGGGGCCTCTGAGGAGGTAAAAGGATGTGGTCTTTGGGTACTGCCTGGCCCTTAGCCTGGTGAGTGGAGCCTGCATCCTACCTTGTTTTTACCCAGAAGTCACCCGAAAGTATTTGGGAGGCACAAAAACTGCAAAGGGAGGCTCAGACATGTCAGAGCTGTTGGCCAAGTTGTGGGTCGGGGGTCAGAGTTTCCCTAGATTCTTCCTGGAGAGATGGGTGGGCAGCCAGAGAGAACCCTGTGATGGGCTGGATGCTCTCCTTCCTGGCCCAACCCCTGTGCCCAGTTACAGATTATCTTTTTTGTTTGTTTTTGTTGTTTGTTTTTTGAGATGGAGTCTCACTCTTGTCACCCAGGCTGCAGTGCACTGGCACGATCTCGGTTCACTGCAACATCCACCTCCCAGGATCAAGACCCTCTCACTTCAGCCTCCAAAGTAGCTAAGATTACAGGTGTGTGTGCCACCACACCTTGTTAATTTTGTGTGTATTTTTAGTAGACCCTGGGTTTCACGATTTTGGTCAGGCTGGTCTCGAACTCCTAGCCTCAAGTGATCCATCGCCTCAGCTTCCCAAAGTGCTGGCATTACAGGTGTGAGCCACCATGTCCAGCCTGTTACAGATGATCTATCTGGATAAGGACAAGAGACTCCCAGGACTGGGGGAATTTGATGTTGGCAGAAGTGGGTGGTCTAGGGGTCCCTACCCTCCTTGTCCCACCTCCAGCCTCTGGGGAAGTGGCTGCCTGCCTGGGAGAGCAACATCTCAGCTCATGCCCCATACGCCAGTGTGAGTTGTGGCTGGCCTGTCTGCATCTCCAATAATGATACCTTGCTCTAAAATGAGACCCTGGGAACACACAGAGTGGGCCAGCCAGGAGCCTGGCAGCACAGCCCTGGCCTGCTTGTAGGTGTCACCTGACAGCTTTCCATTTGCAAGTCCCCTCCCCCTCCAACATCCTGGCACCAATTGCCGCCTCTCAGAGCCCCAGTCTCTGGTTTCTGCCTGTGATTCGGGCTGTAGCACCTGTAGAAACTCAGTTGTCCTTGTCACCCCGTCCCCCAGGGCTGACTAGCCTTTAGCTTGGCCACTCCCTGTCCCTGGGCCTTGGTAATCAGAGCCAGGCTCCAGCCGGCTTTTCTGGTTAGGGGTTGGAGGTGGTACCCGGAGTGCCCCTGGAGGGGGTGGGGGGCCCACACCCCGGAAGTCCTGAGCCTTGGAATGCTCCCAGGTCTGGTGCTGGTGACAGCTGGGGCTGGCCCAGATGCCGAGCATCTGCGGTCAGGGAGGATCAGGGCAGATGTTTTCAGGCCTTGGTGTCAGGGGTGGGAGAGGGATGCATGGCTTTGGAGGGGGCACACGGTAAGACTGGAGGGTGGCGGCCCTGTGGACTACCCCTCCTGTGCTCTTCAAGGTCAAACAAGTCAGATCAGGAGCAGGGGTGCCCAGAGGGGAAGAGTGGCTGCTTGGTTCTGGGAAGGAGGTGACATCTCCATGGAGGGTGACCGAGGCCAGGCTAAGAGGTAAGTGGGGGCACACACCTCAGGTTCAGGAAAGTGTGGGCAGGCAGGGTCACGGGCTGATGAGGAGCACGGACCTGCCCATGTCTGGCTCCTCTGGGACCCCCTGCAGAGCCTCCCATCCTGAGGGTCTCTGCACCCCCTGTCTTGCCCCTCCCACAGGCAGCATGATCCCTGTGGCCGAGTTCAAGCAGTTCACGGAACAGCAGCCTGCATTCAAGGTGCTCAAACCCTGGTGGGACGTGCTGGCCGAGTACCTAACTGTGGCCATGCTCATGATCGGGGTCTTTGGCTGTACCCTCCAGGTGAGGGGCTCCCCTGGGAAGGGGGCATGACCAGAGGGGCGGGGCAGGGCTGTGGAGAAGTCCTGAAGCCTTCCCATCACCCAAGAGAGTGAGAAAGGAAGCTGAAGACAGAGCCCCACTCAGAAACCAATCCATACTGCTTAACTTCCTTACCTCCAGACCAGGAGTAGCAGTGTCCTCCATGTTGCTATGCCATTCCTTTTTTTTTTTTTTTTTGAGACAGAATCTCTTTCTGTTGCCCAGGCTGGAGCGCAGTGTCATGATCTCAGCTCACTGCAAATTCCACCTCCCCAGTACAAGTGATTCTCCTGACTCAGCTTCCTAAGTAGTTGGGATTATAGGTGTCTGCCACCATGCCTGACTAATTTTTTTTTTTTAAAGATGGGGTTTCACCATGTTGGCCAGGATGGTCTCGATCTCCTGACCCCATGATCCACCCGCCTCAGCCTCCAAAAGTGCTGGGATTACAGTTGTGAGCCACCAAGCCTGGCTGCCTGGCTAATTTTTATAGTTTTTTAGTGGAGACCAGGTTTCACAGTATTGACCAGGCTGGTCTCCGACTCCTGATCTTAAGTCATCTGCCTGTATGGGCCCCCAAACTGCTAGGATTACAGGCATGAGCCACCTTGCCTGGCCTTTTCTTTCTTTCTTCCTTTCTTTTTTTTTTTTTTAAAGAAGGAGTCTCATCATGCTCTGTCGCCCAGGCTGGAGTGCAGTGGCACAATCTCAGCTCAGCCACCTTGCCTGGCCTTTTCTTTCTTTCTTTCTTTTTTTTTTTTTTAAAGAAGGAGTCTCATCGTGCTCTGTCGCCCAGGCTGGAGTGCAGTGGCACAATCTCAGCTCTGAAAGAAACAGGCCAGGCTCGGTGGCTCACACCTGTAATCCTGGCACTTTGGGAGGTTGAGGTGGGAGTATCACTTGAGGCTAGGAGTTCAAGACCAGCCTGGCCAACATGGTGAAAACCCATCTTTACTAAAATTACAAATATTAGCTGAGTATGGTGGCAGACACCTGTAATCTCAGCTACTTGGAAGGCTGAGGCAGGAGAATTGCTTGAACCTGGGAGGTGGAGGCTGCACTGAGCTGAGATCCTGCCACTACACTCCAGCCTGGGAGACAGAGTGGGACTCCACCAAAAAAAAACAAAACAAAAACCAGACATGGTCTTATTCTCTCATGCAGGCTGGAGTACAGTGGCATGATCATAGCTCACTGCAGCCTTGCAGCTAGGATTATAGGCACACACAACCATGCACAGCTAATTTTTAAATTTCTTGTTGATCCGGGAGTCTTGCTATGTTGCCCAGGCTGGTCTCGAACTCTTGGCCTCAAAGCGATCCTCCCACCTCAGCCTCCCAAAGTGCTGGGATTAGAAGTGTGAGCCATGGTGCCCAGCTCCATTCTTTCAAAATGCTCAATTTCATCCCTGGAATCAGGAAAGGACTGCAGTTGCTGTGTGAGTTTGTTACTTCTGCTGTAACAAAGTAGCAGGGATTGAGGGGCTTAAACACCAGAAATGTATCCTTTTCCAGTTGGCCGGAAGTCTGAGATCAAGGTGCCAGTTGATAGTAAGGGAGAATCTTCCAAGCCTCCTTCCTAGATTCTCGTAGCTCCAGGCATTCCTTGGCGGTAGATAACATTCTCCCGTTTTTTGTTTTTTGTTTTTTTTTGAGATGGAGTCTTGCTCTGTCACCCAGGCTGGAGTGCAGTGGCATGATCTCAGCTCACTGCAACCTCCACTTCCCAGGTTCAAGTGATTCTCCTGTCTAAGCCTCCCGAGTAGCTGAGATTACAGGTGCACGTGCCATCACACCCAGCTAATTTTTGTGTTTTTAGTAGAGACGGGGTTTCACCATGTTGGCCAAGCTGGTCTCAAACTCCTGACCTTGTGATCCACACTCCTCGGCCTCCCAAAATACTGGGATTACAAGCATAAGCCACCAAACCTGGTCTTTTTTTTTTTTTTTTTGAGACAGCATTTTTGCTGGGCATGGTGGCTCTAGCCTGTAATCCCAGCACTTTGGGAGGGCGAGGTAGGTGGATCACCTCAGGTCAGGAGTTCAAGATCAGCCTGGCCAATATGGTGAAACTCTGCCTTTATTAAAAATACCTCCCCCCTCAAAAAAAAAAAATTACTTGGGCATGGTGGTGGGTGCCTGTAATCTCAGCTACTCAGGAGGTTGAGGCAGGAGAATCGCTTGAATCCAGGAGGCAGAGGTTGCACCATTGCACTCCAGCCTGAGCAACAAGAGCAAAACTGTGTCTCAAAACAAAAGAGAGACAGTGTTTTTAAAGCAAGCTCTGTCACCTAGGCTAGAGTGCAGTGGTGCAATCATAGCTCACTGTAACCTTGTACTCCTGGCCTCAAACAATCCTCCCCTACCACCCCTGCTTGACACCCCCCCCCCCCAACTGCCTTGGAAATCATTGGGATTACAAGCCTGAGCCACCGCACCCAGCCTCTCCCTGTATCCTCACGTCATATTCCCTCTGTGTGTCTTTCTCTGGCTCTAAATTTCCTTTCTCCAAGGATGCAGTCATACTGGGCCCACCCTACAGGTTTTGTCTGAACTTGACTACCTCTGCAGAGACCCTATTTCCAAACAGGAGCCACCTGAAGCAGCTCAAATAATGCCACATTCACAAGGATTCAGAGTTGGAACTTCAACATCTTTTGGGGGGACATGATTCAACCCAGTTCCTTTTCTCAGACAAAGAACAGTGCTTTGTCAGGTGTGGTGACTCATGCCTGTAATTCCAGCACTTTGGGAAGCTGAGGCAGGGGATCACTTGAGGCCAGGAGTTTGAGACTAGCCTGGCATGGTTGTGTATGCCCATAGCCCCAACTACTCAGGGGGCTGAGGCAGGAGAATCGCTTGATCCTGGGATGGGGAGGTTGCAGTGAACTAAGATCGCACCACTGCATGGCAGCCTGGGTGACAGAGGGAGACTTGGTCTCAAAAAAAGGGAAAAAAACCAAGACCAGTGCTTAAAGGTTTAATAAAACTCTTCCAAAGTCACAGCTGGCTTGGTGACAGTCAGAGACGGGTTGCGGGGGGGAGTCTCCCACCATCTACCTTTTTTTTTTTTTTTTTTTCATTTTCCTCATTCTCTCTCTTTTTAAAATTTTTTATTTTTGAGACGGAGTCTGACTCTGTTGCCTAGGCTGGAGTGCAATGGCATGATCTTGGCTCACTGCAACCCCCACCTCCTGGGTTCAAGCAATTCTCCTGCCTTAGCCTCCTGAGTAGCTGGGATTACAGGTATCCACCACCATGCCCTGCTAATTTTTGTATTTTTAGTAGTGACAGGGTTTCACGATGTTGGCCAGGATGGTCTTGAACTCCTGACCTCAAGTGATCTGCCCGTCTCGGCCTCCCAAAGTGCTGGGATGACAGCCCTTTTTCTCTTTTGCTCCTCAGGTAACACAGGACAAAATCATCTGTCTGCCCAATCATGAGCCCCAGGAGAACTTATCAGAGGCCCCGTGCCAGCAGTTGCTGCCTCGCGGGGTCCCTGAGCAGATGGGGGCCCTGCAGGAGGTGAAAGGCCTTAAGAACAACCTGGACCTGCAGCAGTACAGCTTCATTAACCAGCTGTGCTATGAGACGGCCTTACACTGGTACGCCAAGTACTTCCCCTATCTTGTGGTCATTCACACACTCATCTTCATGGTCTGCACCAGCTTCTGGTTCAAGTTCCCTGGCACCAGCTCCAAGATCGAACACTTCATCTCCATCCTGGGCAAGTGTTTCGACTCTCCATGGACCACAAGGGCCCTGTCCGAGGTCTCCGGGGAGAACCAGAAGGGCCCAGCTGCTGCTGGACGGGCCACAGCAACTGTAGCAGCCATGGCAGGGGCCGGGCCAGGGAAGGCAGGGGAAGGTGAGAAGGAGAAAGTGCTGGTGGAACCAGAGAAGGTGGTGACCGAGCCTCCGGTTGTCACCCTGCTGGACAAAAAGGAGGGTGAGCAAGCCAAAGCCCTGTTTGAGAAGGTGAAGAAGTTCCGCATGCACGTGGAGGAGGGCGACATCCTGTACACCATGTACATCCGGCAGACGGTGCTGAAGGTGTGTAAGTTTCTGGCCATCCTGGTCTACAACCTGGTCTATGTGGAGAAGATCAGTTTCCTGGTGGCCTGCAGGGTGGAGACGTCGGAGGTCACGGGCTATGCCAGCTTCTGCTGCAACCACACCAAGGCCCACCTCTTCTCCAAGCTGGCCTTCTGTTACATCTCCTTCGTGTGCATCTATGGGCTCACCTGCATCTACACGCTCTACTGGCTCTTCCATCGGCCCCTCAAGGAGTACTCCTTCCGTTCCGTCCGGGAGGAGACTGGCATGGGGGACATTCCCGACGTCAAGAATGACTTCGCCTTCATGCTGCACCTCATTGATCAGTACGACTCGCTCTACTCCAAGCGCTTTGCCGTCTTCCTGTCCGAGGTCAGCGAAAGCCGCCTAAAGCAGCTCAATCTCAACCACGAGTGGACGCCCGAGAAGCTTCGGCAGAAGCTGCAGCGCAACGCGGGGGGCCGGCTGGAGCTGGCCCTCTGCATGCTTCCGGGACTGCCCGACACTGTCTTCGAGCTCGGTGAGGTGGAGTCGCTCAGGCTGGAGGCCATCTGTGATATCACCTTCCCCCCGGGGCTGTCGCAACTGGTGCACTTGCAGGAGCTCAGCTTGCTCCACTCGCCTGCCAGGCTACCCTTCTCCTTGCAGGTCTTCCTGCGGGACCACCTGAAGGTGATGCGTGTCAAATGTGAGGAGCTCCGCGAGGTGCCGCTTTGGGTGTTTGGGCTGCGCAGCTTGGAGGAGCTGCACCTGGAGGGGCTCTTCCCCCAGGAGCTGGCTCGGGCAGCCACCCTGGAGAGCCTCCGGGAGCTGAAGCAGCTCAAGGTATTGTCCCTCCGAAGCAATGCCGGGAAGGTGCCGGCCAGTGTGACTGACGTTGCCGGTCACCTGCAGAGGCTCAGCCTGCACAATGATGGGGCCCGCCTGGTGGCCCTGAACAGCCTCAAGAAGCTGGTGGCATTGCGGGAGCTGGAGCTGGTGGCTTGCGGGCTGGAGCGCATTCCCCACGCTGTGTTCAGCCTGGGCTCGCTGCAGGAACTCGACCTCAAGGACAACCACCTGCGCTCCATCGAGGAAATCCTCAGCTTCCAGCACTGCCGGAAGCTGGTCACGCTTAGGCTGTGGCACAACCAGATCGCCTACGTCCCCGAGCATGTGCGCAAGCTCAAAAGCCTGGAGCAGCTCTACCTGAGCTACAACAAGTTGGAGACCCTGCCCTCCCAGCTTGGCCTGTGCTCGGGCCTCCGTCTGCTGGATGTGTCCCACAACGGGCTTCACTCCCTGCCGCCTGAGGTGGGCCTCCTGCAGAACCTACAGCACCTGGCCCTCTCCTACAATGCCCTGGATGCCCTGCCTGACGAGCTCTTCTTCTGCCGAAAGCTGCGAACGTTGCTTCTGGGAGATAACCAGCTGACCCAGCTCTCCTCCCAAGTGGGTGCCCTCAGGGCCCTCAGCCGCCTGGAGCTCAAAGGCAACCGTTTAGAGATGCTGCCGGAAGAACTTGGCAACTGCGGGGGGCTCAAGAAAGCAGGACTGCTGGTGGAAGACACCCTTTACCAGGGTCTGCCGGCAGAGGTGCGGGACAAGATGGAGGAGGAATGAACCTCCTGGGGTGGGGTCATTTTAGGTAAAGCCTTAAAAACCTTTCCTCCCTGGAGTCTCAACCATGGTCTTCCAAGACAGGAAGCCAAGTGGGCCCAGGCCAGGAGAGGAGGGACAGACCGTGTCAGCCTTCTGGGGCCCGGGCAGGATCCGGGGCAGGTTTGTCTGGGAAGAGGGACCGGATGTTGTGGATTTGGGGTGGAACCTGGTATAGAGGGATTAACTCAGTCATGGGATTTGCTGACCAAAACCACACCTGTGTCTTTGGCAGGCTGGCTGGCCTTGGTCCCATCCCTAGATCAGAACTGCTGCCTCTCCCTGGATATTCCAGCTCGATTCATGCCATATATGGGAGAAAGGATACATCCCAGTGGGATTTCCAACACTCCCCCTCCCGTGCAACAAACAAAGCAACTTACATCTGGGGTTCTCTCCCAAGGAGAGGACACAGACACAGTTGTTTGCCATGGATATGTGAGCTCAGGACAATGGTTCTCATTTGGCTAAGCATCAAAATCAACTAGGGAGTTGGGGCAAAACAAAATATCCCAGGCCCCACCCCTGAAAGACTGACTCAGGAGGTTTGGATAGGGGCCAGGAGTCTGTTCCTAAGTAAGTGTTCCAGGTAGTTCTGGTGTAGGTAAGTGGTCCTGGGATGGTATGTTGGGAAATGCTGATGTAAAGGTATCAGGGCTGGGTGCTGTGGCTCATGCCTGTAATCCCAGCACTTTGGGAAGCCCAGGCAGAAGGACCAGTTGACCTTAGGAGTTCAAGATCAGTCGGCAACATAGCGAGACCCCCACCTCTGCCCCCCCACTAAAAAAAATCCAAGTATCTAAATTCTGATCCCTTTTGAGGTCCTAGACCCTTTGAGAAACTGATGAAACCAGGCACCTCCTTCCTCAGGAAAATGCTGGTGTACAATACACACAAAGCTCTTCAGGCAGCAGAGAGATTTCCCCAGAGAGCTATTCAAGGACTTCCTAAGGTGGGTGGATTCCAGGGTTAGGACACTTGCTAGAGAGGTGACATTTTTCCAAGGACAGGCAGGGACTCTGGTCTTGACTGTTCCCTGTGAGAGGGAGCACATGTCAGTGGGTACTTAATAAATAATAATTATGTGAATTCAAGTTTTGATCTCTTTCTTTTTGAGACAGAATTTTGTTCCTGTTGCCAATGGCACAATATCAGCTGACCGAAACCTCCACTTCCCAGGTTCAAGCGATTCTCCTGCCTCAGCCTCCCAAGTAGCTGGGATAATAGGCACATATCACCACACCCAGCTAATTTTGTATTTTTAGTAGAGATGGGGTTTCTCCATGTTGGTCAGGCTGGTCTGGAACTCCCGATCTCAGGTCATCCACCTGCCTTGGCCCCCCAAAGTGCTGGAATCACAGGCATGAGCCACTGCACCTGGCCCTAGTTTTGATCTCTTATGTGCACTCCTGTCATTGTCTCAAACCTTTTATTAGGGCCAGGCATAGAGGCTCATGCTTGTAATCCTAGTGCTTTGGGAGGCTGAGGTGGGAGGATCACAAGCTTATAAGTTTGAGACCAGCTTGGGCAACATAATGAGATCTTATCTCTATAAAAACATACAAAAAATAGTTGGCCAGGTGTGCTGATGTGGGCCTGTGGTCCCAGCTACTATGGAGGCAGAAGCAGGAGGACTGCTTGAGCCCAGGACCCAGGAGGTTGAGGCTGCATTGAGCTGTGATTGCACCAATGCACCCCCAGCCTGGGCAATAGAACAAGATACTGTGTCTAAAAATAAGTAATTAATATTAACCTTTTATTTATTTTTGTTTGTCTTTTTGAGATGGAGTCTCGCTCTGTTGCTGAGTCTGGAGTGCAGTGGCATGATCTTGGCTCACTGCAACCTCTGATTCCCAGGTTCAAGTGATTCTCCTGCCTCAGCCTCCAGAGTGGCTGGGATTACAGGCACCCACCACCACACCTGGCTGCATTTTGTATTTTTAGTAGACATGGGGTTTCACCATGTTGGCTAGGCTGGTCTCGAACTCCTAACCTCAGGTGATCCCCCTCCCTTTCATCCTCCCAAGGTGCTGGGATTACAGGTGTGAGCCACCGTGCCTGGTCTATTTGTTTATTTCTGAGACAAAGTCTTGCTTGCCCAGGCTGGAGTGCAGTGGTAAGATCTCGGCTCACTGCAAACTCTGCCTCTCCGATTCAAGCAATTCTCCTGCCTCAGCTTCCCAAGTAGCTGGGATTACAGGCTCCGAAAATACCATGCCCAGCTTTTTTTGTAATTTTAGTAGAGATGGGGTTTCGCCAGTTTGGCCAGGTTGGTCTCAAACTCCTGACCTCAAGTGATCCGCCCACCTTGGCCTCCCAAAGTGCTAGGATTACACGTATGAGGCACCGTGCCCGGCCATAATATTAAACTTTTATTTCATGTGGCCAAGCAACTCCCGTGTGCCAAAATCAAGGATGAGTCTCTTGTTCTCAGAGCAGAGGCACAGAAGGCCACCTGGAAGAGGGGAAGGTAAAGATCTCAGCTATAACTCTACGTTTGTTTGCACTCCACCCACAAGTCGTCACCAGTGGAGTTCCGACAAGCCTGGAACGCTCATCCCAAAGTGTTCACTCGTTGGACCAGGAGCTGGAAGGGTACTTAGCACAGTCCACCTGGTCCTGGCCACCTCCCAGATGTCTCTGCAAAATCGGAAACTTTCTGGCATCTAAGAGCAGAGGGAAGCTGCTCTTGGGGGAACCCTGCGTTTCAGATGGGACATTTCCCCAGCACGCCTCAGGCTGCCGGGGCCCAGGCACCGAGCACCTAACCCGAGGGCCCGTCCTCAGATAGGAATTCTGCACGTCCAGGCGCTGGGCTCACGTTTCAGGTGTGACAGCGATGAAGGGGGAGACTTGAGGTTTCATGTGGGTAAGGACAAGAACTCTGGCCTTGACCTTGGCCCGGTCGCCGAGGTCAGCGGTCACGCCGCCGTGTTCCCACGGCCGTCCCCTCCTGCCTGGCTTTAGCCAACTCTGAGCCTGGTGGGACCGGCAAGAAGGGAAAGGGCTCCGCAAGGAGCCTAATTACAGTGAGGAGCCGGCACCCCGCTGCCAGCGGGAGGCTAGGACGCAATTAAACACAAGAGGAATCCTAACAAAGCACCACTGGTGAGGAAGGCATTCTGAAAGGACGCCCAAGCCGACCGGAAGAGCGAGGACTGGGCTGAGGCTGCACAGCCGTGGGGACCAGGTGTAGATCTCTACTTCAGAAAGAGGTTGCAGGAACACGCATGCACAGAAACCACGCGCGCAAACACGGTTTCCCCTCAGTATGCATGCGCGCCGCTTTCCCCGCCCACCGCCCTCGCTAGAACGGCGGGTTTCCTCGCAGCGCCTCTCTCCGGAGCACTCGGGAATTGGTGCATGCGCACCACGGTGGTGGCGACAAGGGGGGTTGCACGTTGCCTGCCTCGAGCTCTAGGTGGCGTCATCCTTCGGGCTGAGCCGAAGCACGCACGCGCGGAGGCTCGCAGCTGGGGAAGGGCGGGTGCGCGCCGCGGGCATGCGCCATGAGGGGCGAGACGGCGGCTCGGCGGGGTCATCTAGGCGCAGGCGCAGTGCGGTGTTTGTCTGCCGGACTGACGGGCGGCCGGGCGGTGAGCGGCGGCTGTGGCGGCGGGGAAGATGGCGGCGTCCTCCCTGGAGCAGAAGCTGTCCCGCCTGGAAGCAAAGCTGAAGCAGGAGAACCGGGAGGCCCGGCGGAGGATCGACCTCAACCTGGATATCAGCCCACAGCGGCCCAGGCCCAGTAAGCACGGCGCCGTGGGGGAGGGGGCGGGCGGGGCGGGGCGCGCGCCGAGGGAGGCCCCGCCCCTGTCGCCAGGCCCCGCCCCCGCTTCCGGGGCGCTCGCGCTCCTCCTCTCCGTCTCCCCCGTTGTGGGCTCACGGGGCGAGGGTCACGGTGAGCCGGGGGGGGCGTAGGGCCGGCGAGCTCCGGGGGATTCCCACCCTCAGGGCCTGGGGGCCCAGTTCCCGGACCCAGGCGAGGCCTCCAGCTGATGACCCGCCCCCATCGCCGTCATCCTTTGGGTCGGGCTCTCCGGACTCCACGCGTCCGTGATCACGTCCAGGTGGCCCCTAAAATACAGACACGTCCCTTTTGACCCGATGTTACCACTGCTGTCATCTCAGGGACTGTCCAGCGCGCCCCACCCCTGGCCTAGGAGCTTGTCAGCCCTTGTAGCGGACGATCCACGCACACGCGCACGCCTGCCCTGGGGACACCTGAGGTCACTTGACCACATAGAGCCCCTCCCCATCTCTTCTGACCGGAGGATTTTCCCTCTCGCTCTCCCTGTGACCGTGTATGGGGTGGGAGGGTGGGACGGGGGTCCCTTCTTCCCCCTAGCGACAATAACCTTGGCTCAGCAGACCCCCCCCCCACGTATACCAGGCCCCCTCAAACCCCTGTTAACAGTTTCACTGCCACCATTTTGGTGAGCGTGTGTCTGACCTCTCCAGAAATGGATATCAACCCCCAGCCATCACAGCAACTTTGTCACCTGGGTTCAGGTGATGGCTTCCTTTCCTTCACACCCACCTGACCTGGGAACACCTGAGGCCAATGCGACTCTATCTAGGCCTGCTCCGCACCCCGCAGCAGACATCCACCTGTTTTCTGATGAATCCCACCAAATTGGTACCTACCTCCCTGACTTCTTATTTTCCTAGATCAGTACTTCCCACTCCACATGCACCTGACCTGGGAACACTGACCACATCTAGTCTCCCGGCATTTTCCACAAGAGCCTGGTCTCTGAATTATCTGGGCTGGAGAGAATCAGCTTTTCAAACCCTGTGAACGCCACCCCTGACCCATGATCCTTTTTGTGTCTTTCTTGACCCAGTGAAATGTTCTCATGTCTCATCCAATAATGACCTTTGTAGTTTATGTAGCTCTCTATGGAGTCATTATGATAGGGGAAGAAGGTACCCCCTGTATCGGGGCATCCCACGCATTCGCTGGTCACCCAACCTGACCATCACAGCCTGACACCCTCCTGTGCCTCCCTCTCCTGACCTGAGTCAGCATGGGATCCTCCTTGGGGAGTCTCTTGGGGGCCCAGATAAATCGTGGAGGTGGAGATTCTGGCGTTGGATACTGCCTGGAACAAGAAGCCCTCAAAAGACAAGGGAGATCCCTGCTAGCCCCTGGGCGCTGCCCTCCCTGGCACCTGAGTAGCTGAGGCAGGGTTGGGTCTAGGGCCCCAGGTGCCTTCAGGGGTGGCCGTTTCCATGTAGAGCTAGGAGGCCCTTGGCAGGCAGGCCCCCGAGGAGTCCCCTCCAGGCGTTTGTGTCTGTGTCAGCTCCATCCCATCCTCCTCGTCCTCCCCATCTCTGTCGGTTCCCAGCCATCTCTGCAGTCCGGTGCCTCCCGCTCCTCCTTGTTTATGATTTGATTTCTTTTCTTTTGGATGAATTGGTCGTTTCTGTTGTGATTTATCGTGGTGTTGTTTTTTTTCTTCCTTTTCCCCATCCAGTTATTGTGATCACTCTAAGCCCTGCTCCTGCCCCGTCCCAACGAGCAGGTACCAGCCTTTTTATCATCGCTGCTTGGACATGTGCACCATTGACCTAACCGCTCCCCTAGCCGCAGAATGCCGTCCCCCAGCCCCCATGCTCTGTGTGTCCCCCCCATGTCCCCTACCCTCACTCTCACTTTCTCTCTCATTCTACTCGAGCAGCAGTCAGCCCAGCCCGGCCTCCTCTGTGTCCTCCACCCTTCTCCCCTCCCTTCCTCTCGGCTCCACTTTGGACTCCCTGGAGGAGGAGGTGGGCTCCCCACTGAATGGGAGTCTGTGGCCTTCAAGGGGGTGCCTGCCTGTGTGTATGTAACTGAGAGAAAGAGAAAGCTGGGCCTGGTGGGTGGCCTGTGCCTGTGAGTCTCTCTCAACGACATGAATACATAGCACCGTCCTGGGTGCGACGCCTGCCCTGGCGCCAGGGACACAACAGTGAATAGAACAGACCGAGCCCCTCTCCTCTGTAGTGGGGCACACTGGGCAGGGAGCACATTCCCACTAGAGAGAACATTCTAGCTGGGTGAGTGGCCCTGCATGGGGCCAGTCTCGGGGGAACCTCTGGAGAAGGTGGGGTTTTGAACAAAGCCTGTGGGGAGGCCAGGCACAGTGGCTCACACCTGTAATCCCAACACTCCGGGAGGGGAGACAGGAGGATCACCTGAGCCTAGGAGTTCAGGACCCGCCTAGGCAACGTAGCAAGATCTCTCTACTAAAAACAATTTTATTTTTAATTTTTTTAGAACAACTGCAAAAAAATTTTTTAATTAGTCAGGTATGGTGGTGCACACCTATAATCCCAGCTGCTTGGGAGGCTGAGGCAGGAGGATCACCTGAGCCTGCTAGGTTGAAGATACAGTATGCCATTATCGCACCACTGCACCCCAGCCTGGGTGACAGAGCCAGATCCTGTCTCAAAAATTTAAAAAAACAGGCCAGGTGCAGTGGCTCATGCCTGTAATTTCAGCACTTTGGGAGGCGAAGGAGGGTGGATCACTTGAAGTCGGCAATTCTAGACCAGGCTGGCCAACATGTTGAAACCCTGTCTCCATAAAAAATACAAGAGATTAGCCAGGTGTGGTGGCAGACACCTGTAATCCCAGCTACTAGGGAGGCTGAGACACAAGAATCTCTTGAACCCAGGAGGTAGAGGTTGCAGTGAGCCAAGATTGCACTACTGTACTCCAGCCTGGGTGACAAAGCAACACTCCATCTCAAAAAAAAAAAAAAAAGCTGTGTGAAGTGGCTCACTCCTGTAATCTTAGCACTTTGGGAGGCTGAGGCAGGCGAATCATGAGGTCAGGAGTTCGATACCAGCCTGACCATGGTGAAACCCTGTTTCTACTAATTTTGTATTTCTACTAAAAATACAAAAATTAGCCAGGCATGGTGGTGTGCACTTGTAATCCCAACTACTCAGGAGGCTGAGGCAGGAGAATCACTTGAGTCTTGGAGGCAGAAATTGTAGTGAGCCGAGATTACACATTGCGCTCCAGCCTGGGCGACAGAGTGAGAGTCCATCTCAAAAAAAAAAAATTTTAAACCCGTCTTGAAGGAGGTGAGGGGAGAGAAGACAGCCCTGCCAGGGCCCCGAGCTTGCACACCTGTGTTGGGAGAGAGACTAGATGGGATGTCCGGCCCTGTGTGTGGTTGTGAGTCTGTGTGTGTGTATGTGTGTGTGTGTGTGTCCAGTGGGCAAGGGGACTGTGTCCTGGTTGCATGGATGTTGGAGCCACAGCACCCCCCCCCGTGTGTGTTGTGCGTGTGTGCATTTGCACGATGTGTGCGTGCATGTTGACGGGGCAGCCTGCACACCTGTGGCTCCTGTTGGCAGATGCGTGCCCTCCAGCCTCTCACTGTCTCTCATCCGTTCTGTCTCTCTCTCTCTCATCCTCACCCTCTTGCTCTCACTCCACCCTCCTGAGCCGCCATGTGGCCGTCACCACCTCTGTGGCCGCTGTTCTCAGGGCCTTTGTATACCTCCTTCCTCCCATGCCAACCCGAGCCCTCCCCTACCTGCATCCTCCTGTGCTCCAGTCTGTGGGCTGGCAGCCTCCTCCCTGGGCTCTGGGGCCACCCTCAGAAGGCCTGGTGGGCTGCGCCAGTGAGGGGATCCACAGGACTCCTCGAGGGATGTGGTCCTTACCCCATGAGAGCTGATGGTGCGGGGCGGGAGCAGGACTCGGATAGTCTCTGAGGGCGAGAACCAGGCAGTGTCTGAAGAGACACCAGGTGCAGAGGGGTTGGGGACTGGGGACTGGGTATGCAGGGAGCATAGGCCCTCAGGATCCAGAGAGGGATCAGGGCTGTGGCTCAGGCCACGGGCAAAGCAGAGGCGCCAGGGACCTGAAGAGGCAGGGGGAGAAGCCTAGCCAACACAGTGAGACCCCATCTCTTCTAAAAATACAAAAATTAGCTGGGCATGGTGTCGGGTGCCTGTAATCCCAGCTACTCAGGAGGCTGAGGCAGGAGCATCACTTGAACCAGCAGGTGGAGGTTATAGTGAGATGAGATCACGCCACTGCACCCCAGCCTGGGAAACAGCAAGGATCTATCTCAAAAAAAAAAACACAGGGGGTGCTGATGTGGTGGTGCCGAGGCTGCAGCGGCCAGGACAGCGGGAGGGGCACAGGAGGCAAGGCCTCTAGGCCAGTCATGAATGCTGGGCCTGGCTGTGTCCTGGGTTCCCCAGAGCCCTTCCCTGGCTCCTGCATGGTCCTCTGGGAGGGGAGCTAAGGGGCACAGCTGCTGCAGGGGCTGGCGGGACCAGGTGGGGGCAGTGCTGGACCTCACATTGGGACTGAGGTCAGGGTCTTCCTGCCTCTCCTGCTGGTTGAGATCAGGGTCCCAGGCCCACAGCAGAGGGATGGAGCCCAGCTGCCAGCATGGGGTGAGTTTGTCTGAGTTAGACCAGGAACCTGCAGAACTGTGGAGAGAAAAGGCAGATGAGGCAGGAGGAAGAGAGGAGGAGAGAGGGAGAGGGGTGTCCTTGGAGGGCTTTGGCAGGATGGCAGGCCCCAGCCTCTGTGGGAGAGGTGCCTTGGGAGGTGCTTGTAGCCGTTGCCAGGGCCTCTAGGATGTGAGGTGTCAGGATTGGCTTCTCTGGAAGCCACGTTAGCCTCCTGGCCTCTGTTCCTGCACCCGGTTGCCAGCCCAGCCAGGGAGACCCCTTGCACCTCTGGGAAGCTGCTCTCCTATCCCAGGCCCCTCTCTGGCCTGTCTCTGCAGCGCCTCCTCTGGGCACCTGGGCCAAGTCTCGGCTCCTATCTGTCTGTCTCCTGCTCTCCCACACCTAATACTGCCTTCCTGCCCCGGGGTGCCCGCTGCCTGCCTGCCGCCTGCCCACCTGCTGTAGCATGCCCAAGCTGCCCGCATGCAGGCTGCTGGATGAGCCGACCCCCGCCTGGTCCAGCATTGCCCCCACCTCGTCCTGTCAGCCCCTGCAGGAGCTGTGCCCCCGAGTTCCCCTCCCAGAGGATGCAGGCCCCCTGAGGTTCTGTTCTGCCCCCATGCAGAACAGCTCTGCAGGCCAGGTCGGGAGGTCCCCATGTTAGCCCATGGGCCCAAGGGGGTCCTCCCCGACCCCGGAGCAGAACGTGGGGCAAGGCAGCCTGAAGCCTGAGTCTCGTGCCCACTGCCTCCTCAGGGTGGCTCTCCTCACTCTTGTCTGGGTGCCACGTTCAGTGCTACCAGCAGGGCCATTGCCTGGGCCAGCCCCGGCAGGCACTCTGCCCTCGCCTATCCAGCCTGTGGGCACTGTGGCCCTGGGCCCGCTTCCTGGGCAGAAGTGGGAGGAAGTGGACACACCTGCCAAGGAGGCTGCCCACCCAAGGGACACCCCAGCTTCCCGTCTCGTTTCTCTTTCAGTGTAGACTTGGGGCCCATCTCTCTGCCAGCCTCCTCCATGTCCTTCAAGGTCAGGGGATGAGAGAAGGGACTCTGAGGATAGTCTGGGTGGGAAGGAGACCCCAGCTCCAGCCCTGCAGGGTGGGGGGCTGTGCCAGGCTAGCTGGGGAAGTGCTGTAGGTGAAGGTGAGGGTCCTGACCCCTCCCTGGAGCGCCAGATGTGGAGCTGAGACCAGCTGGGTGCTGACCCCCCTTCCCCGCCACTGGTCTCACCCCCCCAGCCCTGCAGCTCCCGCTGGCCAACGATGGGGGCAGCCGCTCGCCATCCTCCGAGAGCTCCCCGCAGCACCCCATGCCCCCCGCCCGGCCCCGCCACATGTTGGGGCTCCCGTCAACCCTGTTCACGCCCCGCAGCATGGAGAGGTGAGCCAGGGGTCCCACAGGGTGGATGGGCAGCAGCGTTGAGGGGGCCGCCATGCCAGTCCCGGGAGGAGGATGGTTAAACCAGTGGGAACCCCAGTGTGGGGGTCTGGGGTGGCCTTAGGTTGGTCAGGACCTGTCTCCACCAGCACCTGCTCTGTGTCCCCAGCATTGAGATTGACCAGAAGCTGCAGGAGATCATGAAGCAGACGGGCTACCTGACCATCGGAGGCCAGGTACCACCTTCACTGAGGCGGTGGGAGGGAGGAGGCCCAGCCAGGCAGGGCCCATCCTGGGGGCACCAGTGGGGGGGCAGGGGTGTGGTGGCAGAGGCCCCGGGGATCTTCCACCTCTCCCTCTCCTCCCAGCGCTACCAGGCAGAAATCAATGACCTGGAGAACTTGGGCGAGATGGGCAGCGGCACCTGTGGCCAGGTGTGGAAGATGCGCTTCCGGAAGACGGGCCATGTCATTGCCGTCAAGGTGAGCCTTGGCGGCCACTCGGGCCAGGCCCTGTGTCCCGGGCTGGTGCTAAGGCTCCCTCCCGTCCCTGCCCGTGTAGCAAATGCGGCGCTCGGGGAACAAGGAGGAGAACAAGCGCATCCTCATGGACCTAGACGTGGTGCTCAAGAGCCATGACTGCCCCTACATCGTGCAGTGCTTCGGGACCTTCATCACCAACGTGAGTTCCCGGCTGCGCCAGGTTCCCCCTGCCCCCCACGGTGCAGGCTCTCCACCTCTCTCACCCGTTGTCCCTTCCCTGGGAGCAGAGCTGCTAGGGGGAGGGCCAGAGACACAGCTCCCCTGCGTGCCCCCTTCCTGCAGACAGACGTCTTCATTGCCATGGAGCTCATGGGCACCTGCGCTGAGAAGCTCAAGAAGCGGATGCAGGGCCCCATCCCCGAGCGAATCCTGGGCAAGATGACAGTGGCGGTGAGTGGCCAGGTGGGGCAAGTGCTGGGTGGGTGGCCTTGGACTATGCCCCTGCCCGTCACACACAGCCTCCCCTGCTCACCTGCAGATTGTGAAGGCGCTGTTCTACCTGAAGGAGAAGCATGGTGTCATCCACCGCGACGTCAAGCCCTCCAACATCCTGCTGGATGAGCGGGGTCAGATCAAGCTCTGCGACTTCGGCATCAGCGGCCGCCTGGTGGACTCCAAAGCCAAGACTCGGAGCGCAGGCTGTGCCGCCTACATGGCCGTGAGTGGGGGCCCTCCAGCAGGGGAGGGGTGGGGGCTGGGATGCTGGCCCCAGCCTTGGAGGTACATCTTCCTGTCCTCCCCTTGCAGCCCGAGCGCATCGACCCCCCAGACCCCACCAAGCCTGACTATGACATCCGGGCTGACGTGTGGAGCCTGGGCATCTCATTGGTGAGTTAGTGCTCTGCCCCTGTCCTCCAGCTTCTGTGGGACTTGGAGGGAGAACACGACCCTGTCCCGGCTGGTCCACCCTTGCCCGTCTCCCTCACAGGTGGAGCTGGCAACAGGACAGTTTCCTTACAAGAACTGCAAGACGGACTTTGAGGTCCTCACCAAAGTCCTGCAGGAGGAGCCCCCGCTTCTGCCTGGACACATGGGTTTCTCAGGGGACTTCCAGTCCTTCGTCAAAGACTGGTGAGGACCTCCCCTCTGGGAGGTCGGGGCAGCCCGCAGCTCTGGGCAGCTGGGAAGGCCAGGGCGGGAGGGGAACGGAGGCCCCACACTGGAATGGAGTGGGTGCAGCTGTGGGCAGGCTCATGGCTGCCAGACAGGAGCTGGTGCCCAGGGAGCCCCGAGTTGAGTTTGGACCTGGCCCAAGGGGACAGCCAGCCCTGTGGTGTTTGTTTGGCAGGGTGGCCATGGGAGGTCCTGGGGACCCTTCTTCAAGCACAGCTACAAGTGCAGGAGCTCCACATCTGATTCTCTCAGGAGAGCCCCACCTGCCTCTCTGGGGGACCTCAGCCAGTTTTGGCTCCCCAAGCCAGGCCCTTGCCACCTGGCCCTAGGCCACGAGGCTCAGAAACACACAGTTGGTCCCAGCTGTTAGCAGGGGTCCTGAGGACGTCTGCAGCTCTTTCCCCCACACAGAGCCAGGGGACCCCTGGCTCCTTGGGGAGGACCTGAGCATAGGGGCGGTGGGAGGTGGTTGGCCACTATCCCCTCCTCCCTCGCTCTCACATCTGTCTTCACTTTTCTTCCTCTAGCCTTACTAAAGATCACAGGAAGAGACCAAAGTATAATAAGCTACTTGTGAGTACCTGTGGTGCTCCCAGTCCCGGTCCCCATCCCCATCCCCAGTCCCCATCCCCATCCCTGTCCTTGTGGAGGCTCGAGGCCAGGAGGGAAGACCTTCTCCTAAGCCCCACCCCCTCGGGCCCACAGGAACACAGCTTCATCAAGCACTATGAGACGCTGGAGGTGGATGTGGCGTCCTGGTTCAAGGATGTCATGGCGAAGACTGAGTCACCGCGGACTAGCAGCGTCCTGAGCCAGCCGCACCTGCCCTTCTTCAGGTAGCCGTGTGGCATCGGCCAGCCCCACAGGGGGCCAGGGGCATGGCCAAAGGCCCCCTTCCCCACCCGGCCACCCAGCTGCCCTCAAGGGGAGACCTGGGACCTGGACAGCCACCGAGGGCTGAGGACAGAGGGGGGGGTGCCCATCCACCCCCCGTCCTGGGCCAGCCAGGCTCCAGCCCTTCCTGCCCTGGGGTCAGCCGGCCACGTGCATCCCCCGACAGACACTGTGAACGGAAGACAGCAGGCCGAGAGCAGAGTTGCTGTGCATTCAGCTGCAGCTTCTGGGCCAGGGCGGCCCCCAGGGGCCAGGAGAGAGCTCCCAAGTCCTGCAGCACCAAGCTCCCAGCGTGCCATGCCCTCCACCACCCCCACAGGCCCGTTCCCCCTCTGTTGCCCTCTGTCCCCCGCTCTACCTCTCTGTCCCTGTCTGGCTCTCCCATCACCCTTCCTGCCTCTGTCTCTCTCCCGGCCTGAGCTTGGGCCCAGCCCCCTCCGGATGGGACCCCTGGGTCTGCCTAGGTCTCCCATGGAGCAATGAGTCAGTGGCCCCCAGAAAGGCGGTGTGGGCATTTGGACTGCGGCTGGACAGGGCTGCACTCTCTCTCTCTCTTTGATCTCAGGGGGTCCTTTTTGGAGTTTATTGTATTTTATTGTACTTGGTGGGGTGTTTGGGGTGGGGGGTGGAGGAGAGCTTGTTCTCAAGGGGTTTGTCGGTACCTTCAGAAACTTTTACCAAAGTCACGTTTAGCTGCTTGTGGTGGGGCCCCCAACCTCCTTCAGGCACTGGGAGGCTGGGGCTGCTGCTCTGGGGTCTCTGGGTGCCACAGCTTGGGGATGAAGACCTTGGGGTGCAGTGGGGTCTGCGGGGCCGTGGCCACACAAGATGGCCTTCAGGGAAGGTGGGCTTGGGGCATGGCGCAGAGCAGGTGACCAGAGGGACTTGGTGACAGAGTAGGGCCATGGGGCCGAGGGAGGGGTCTGGAAGGAGTCAGGGATCGAGGGTAGAGAGAGTGTATGTGGGGGTTCAAGGATGTGTGACAAGCTCCAGCAGGGACAGGGGCCAGGCTGAGGGTGGGGGTGTGAGGCCATCACCCTCTGTCATGCCTCTGGCGGTCCCTCTACTCATGCACACCTGGCCCAGCCCGTGATGAGACCTGGGACTGGGAAAAATCGGTTGTGCACTGGGGGCCCAGGCCAGGGTGCTCCCTAGAGCCCACTGGGGTGGCCAGAGCAGGAGGGGGTGTGTTTCCTTTTTGTGGGTGTTGCATGCAAATCAAGTGGACAAGAAACAAAACAAACAAACAAAAGAAAACCCCGTGAAACCACAAAGAAAAACCAACACGAAAGGCGGGGAAGCCGGCCGGCCCTGGTGGAGGCCGCGCAGGCGCAGCATCGCTCTCCTCTCATCTAGCCTGTTGACTCCCGTTACGATATTCACAAAATGCCGCATGTTTAAAAAGTCATAGATGTCATGGTCTCTCTGCCCCCAGGGGCAAGGCCACCTTCTCTTGCCCGTTGGCCTGTGTCAGGGGCGAGGGTCTGCTGGGCGGGAGGGAGCGGTGCCAATAAGCCTAGCCCTTTCCTCCTCCCCTGGGTCCAGCTGTGGGGGCCTCTGCATATTGCTGGAAGGTCACATGGCTGGTCCCAGGGCCCAAAGAGGCCCAAGACCAGGTTGCCTGGTTTTATTTAACTATTTTGTTTCCTGAGTGTGTGTCCGCCCACCCTCACCCTCTTCAGTGTTAATTGGGGAGCCCTGGGGGAGTCTTATGCCTCCCTGCCTCTCTCCCAAGACCTCCCCGCTCGTCACCAGCCATCCCTCTGGATCAGGCAGAGGGCGGACCGGGTGGGCAGAGGCCCGGGGGCGGCTCAGGCCAGCCCACCAGCCAGCGGACCCCTCCTCAGGCTGCCAGTGTTGCCCTGCCCCTTTTTAAAACAAAATGCCCTTGTTTGTAAACCCTTAGGCGCTTGAGAATAAACCCCTCCCTTTTCTTCCACAGTCTGTGGTGTGTTGTGGGCCTGGCAGGGTGAGGTGGAAACGGGGTGGTGTCTGGTGGGGGGGGTCGGTCATTCTAGTGGATGAGGCCTTTGCATTGAGGGGAGACTGAGGCAGGTTTGGGAGCTGGGTGTGAGGTATCAAGCAGCCAATGTGAGGGACCCCCTGCCCCCATTAGCCCCAGGTCGGGCAGCAGAGGATCCCTTAATCCACCCAGGCCTTGGTCATTGGCTCTGGTGTCAGCCCCTGTCTGCCACCCCCGCTCCCTGCATCCTTCCTGGCCAAGGACAGGGCCACCTGCCCACGTTCAGGGCCTTCGTGCTGTCCAGCTGGTGTGTCTGCTCTGGCCCCAAACACTCCAACCTCAGCCAGTCAGCATGCTAGGTACTGTGCTGCTGCTGGCCCTGCTACCGGGGATCAGCACTGTGTCCAGCGGGCCACCTGGTATGTATGGGCAGGGAAGTGATGGGTCTGTCATGCTCCTAGCCCTGTGTCACTCTTTTTTTTTTTGAGATGGAATTTTGCTCTGTCGCCCAGGCTGGAGTGCAGTGGCGCGTGATCTCTGCTCACTGCAACCTCTGCCTCCCAGGTTCAAGCGATTCTCCTGCCTTAACCTCCTGAGTAGGTGGGACTACAGGTATGCGTTAGCACGCCTGGCTAATTTTTGTATTTTCAGTAGAGATGGCATTTCCCCATGTTGGCCAGACTGGTCTGGAACTCCTGACCTCAGGCAATCTGCCTGCCCTCAGCCTCCTAAAGTGCTGGGGTTACAGATGTGAGCCACCGTGCCCAGCCATCGTTCAACTAGACCTCTGGTCCAACCCCCCCCCTCTGGAGGGGGCGGGAGTGGGGTGGGGTCTTCCTCTGTCTCCCCATCCCAAGGATGGCTCACATCCCCACTTCAGCAAAGTCCCCTGCAGTCACAGAGAGGGCCAGGGTTGTGGGAAGCGTCCAGGCTACCCAGGTGCTCTTCAGAAGTCGGGGGTGGGGATGGAGGCAAGGAGCTCATGCCTATATTCCCAGCACTTAGGGAAGCCAGGAGTTGCAGACCAGCCTGGGCAACAGAGACTCCATATGGCTGTGGTGGCGTCTATGGTCACAGCTACTCCAGAGGCTGAAGCTGGAGGATCACTGGAGCCCAGGAGTTGGAGACTGCAGTGAACAGCATTCACACCACTGCACTCCAGCCTGGGCGACAGAGGGAGACCCTGTCTCAGAGGAAGAAAAAAAAAAAAAGGATGTGATGTGCAGGTGATCTTTTGTGTTTGGAGCTTATCCATCTTACCAGAACCCTGCTCAGCACCTCCTGAAGGCAGACATCAGTGTGTGTTTAGGGTCACGGAGAGGGCAAGGGACCCCATGGTTACCCTCAGCCTGGACAAGGGGAAGACTCCCAATCTTGGTGGCCTAGCTGGGCTTTGGCTGTGCCTGCGAGAGTCTCTAGGGAGGGTATTCTCTTTACTTCCCTTCCCCGTTGGTGACAGCATCTGCATCCTCTTAGAAAGGGGAGCTGCCGGTCCTGCTGTGTCCCCGAGAGCAGCCAGGGGGAAGATGGGGGCCTCTCACTTCACTCAGCCTGATCCCACCATCTGGTGCTCCTCACTGTTTCCCTTCCGTCCCAGGGAGGCCCTCGCCAGCTTCTGAGGCTTCTCTTGGGGTGCACGGCTTTGCACCCTGCTCAGCTGCTGGGCTGTGCGGGTCGCTGGGGACGGCAGGGGGCGCATTACCGTCGGGGAACGTGGCGCGGAGCCCGTCATGGGTGAATCCGCTACCGCAACCACATTCCTTTTCCAAAGGCGGCGGCGGGGGCGAGGTGGTCGGGCCAGAGGCCTAAAGGGTAGCGCACGTTCTCTCTCCTCCGGGCCGACCTTTACCCCCATCAGCGCCCCAGTTCCCCGCGGCGCCTGGCCCCTGGCTGCGCAGACCCCTCTTCAGTGTGAAGCTGTCGGACACAGAGGATGTCTTCCCGCGCCGCGCGGGGCCGCTCGAGGTCCCGGCCGACAGCCGCGTGTTCGTGCAGGTGGTTACTCCGTGGACACCAGGGGCGGATGGGGACGGTGGGGACGGGCAATCTCTGATGGCGCCTTCGTCCCCCAGGCGACCTTGGCCCGTCCCTCCCCGCGCTGGGGCCTGGCCCTGCACCGCTGCTCAGTGACGCCGTCCTCACGCCCGGCCCCGGGGCCGGCCCTGGCGCTGCTTCGAGAGGGCTGCACCGCCGACGCCTCGGTTGCCTTCCCGTCACCGCTACCGCCGAGCCCGAGTTCCACCCGCCCTGTGCGCTTCAGCTTCCGCCTGCGCCCAGTCTTCAACGCCTCAGTGCAGTTCCTGCACTGCCAGCTGAGCCGCTGCCGCCGCCTCCGGAGAGTCCGCCGGGCGCCTGCATCCCTGACTCCCCCGCCGCCATCGCGGGTGCGCAGCGCAGAGCCTGGAATCTGGGCGCCGGGGCCCCTCGGGAGCTGGGCACGAGCCACTCTGGTGGTGGAGAGAGGATACCCTCCGGGTCTGAGGATATGGAGGTTGGGGTGGAGGGGTTAGGTGTAGTGGCCCATCTCTGTCAACAGAGTTTCTCCGGGGATAGTGTGGGCACTGAGTTCCCTCATGTACAGCTCTGGGATCCTTCAGAGCTGGGGGCTGGATGCAGAAAGCCACAAAGGGGACACATTTCTGAGAACCTGGGGTTGGGTCTCACATTCGAGGTGCTGGGAGAGCCGGACCATGTGATCTTGTGGGGCTGGGATTTTGGGTCCTGAAGGGCTGGGTGGCTAGCCACTTGTATGCATAGCCACTGGGTTCAGGGACCTCTAAGCGGCCGAATTTCCAGGGGTTCCATCGTGGCTGTGGTGGAGAGCTGGACTCAGGTCTCTCTCGGGGTCACTAGGGACCAGAGCCAAGATCCCGGGGCCCTAATGTCCCCGGCTATTTCCCACCTTCCTCTCCCCCAGTGTCTGCCTCAGGATGAGGCTTGCACCGGCGGTGGCAGCGTTGAGAGCCTGGCTGCCAATGGCCCCCACCTGCACACGCTGACGCAGCCTATCGTGGTCACCGTGCCGCGGCCGCCCCCCAGTGAGCACTAAGTCTTCCTCCGAAGGGGACCGTGGGGCTGCAGTGGGGGGTGGGAAGGACACCTGGGTCCTGGACCCAGTCTCAGCGTGGCACTTCCCACAGGGCCGCCCAAGATCATCCCTGGCCGCGCCGTGCGCCCCGAACCTCCGGCGCCGGCCCCCGCGGCCCTGGAGCCCGCGCCGGTGGTGGCGCTTGTGTTGGCAGCCTTTGTGTTGGGCGCCGCGCTGGCCGCCGGGCTGGGCCTCGTCTGCGCGCACTCAGGTACAGACCTCCGCCATGCCCCCAGCCTATTCCGGTGCGTCGGGACAGGGGGCGGCCGCGATCCCTCGTGCAGGGCCTGATCAGCCCTAGCTAGACCTGCCTCTGCGATATCCACAGCAGCCCCCAGGGGTCGCCCTTAGCCTGGCCTGGCGCGCAGCAGCGCTTCTGCATCCCGCCTCTTCCTTACAGCGCCCCCAGCCCCCGGCGCGCCCGCGAGAGCCTCGCCCGGCGGCCCCCATCCCAGGAGGCCCCAATGAGGAAGGTAGGTATGGAGGTGGGGGGAGCTGAGGGAGGAGAAGATGACAGTGCCCCCCCCCCCTTTTTTTTTTGAGACAGAGTCTCCTTCTGTCGCCAGGCGCCAGTCTGGAGTGCAGTGGCGCGATCTCGGCTCACTGCAACCTCTGCCTCCCGGGTTCAAGCAATTCTCCTGCCTCAGCCTCCCGAGTAGCTGGGATTACAGGCCAGCTAATTTTTGTATTTTTAGTAGAGACAGGATTTCACCATGTTGGCCAGGATGGTCTTGTTCTCCTGACCTCGTGATCCGCCCGCCTCGGCCTCCCAAAGTGCTGGGATTACTTACAGGCATGAGCTACCGCGCCCGGCAGCCTTTTTTTTTTTTTTGGGGGGGGGGGGGGACTAAGTTTTGCTCTTGTTGCCAAGGCTAGAGTGCAGTGGCGCGATCTCGGCTTACTGCAACCTCCGTCTCCCGGGTTCAAGCTATTCTCCTGCCTCAGCCTCCCGAGTAGCTGGGATTACAAGCATGTGCCACCACGCCCGGCTTATTTTGTATTTTTAGTAGAGACGGGGTTTGGTGGTCTCCATGTTGGTCAGGCTGGTCTCGAACCTCCAACCTCAGGTGATCCACTCGCCTAGGCCTTCCAAAGTGCTGGGATTACAGGTGTGAGCCACTGCACCGGCCCCCAAGCACAGGAGTAAATGGTTTACGCCTATGAACTAACCGAATTCCCTTAACAACCTCCAGGTGGACACTATTATAATCCCCATTTTAGAGAGGAGAAAAATGAGGCATTCTCTGAATTAAATAACTTGTCAAAAGTCACAACACTGGGTGGAACTCGAATTCGAACTCAGGCAGTGGGTCACCCCCAGCTGGCACAGACTCTGGGTCGAGCCAAGGGCATCAGGTGAAGAGAGGCATTAGGTGAGGAGAACTCAGTAATCAGACCCGGCTCCCACTCTCACCGGACATACAAACTGATGGAAGAGGCCAGTGGTCTGCTGGGAAGGGGGTGGCCCACTTAGCGTCCCCTCCCTCGCTGAACCTCAGCTGCCCCTCCCAGGGATGATGCGCCCCCAACATGATCCGGTGATGCACCCAGCTACCACTTCCAGACCAAGACCAACAGGACCGGACCCGCCTCCCTGGACCTCGACCCGATGGGGCTACGACCCCTGCACTTCTCTCCTCCCCGTCCCTTCCACCTGTGCTCAAAATAAACCTCTAGACTAAGTTGTGGTGCAGTCAGCGAGTGCGCAAGGTGCGGGGTGGGGAACGGGTGGGGAGGCTTGGGGAGAAAGCTGGGAGCAGGACTTTGTGGGGATTCCTGAGAAATCCTGACAGAGGAGCAGAGCCTGTGGTCGGGAGCCATATGCCCATATATTCGTGTGCACTCAAGGGCTATGGGACCCTCAAGGGCGTTTTGTCTCAATCAGAAAGGGACACCCGGCCGGGCGCTGTGGCTTACACCTGTATCCCAGCACATTGGGAGGCCAAAGTGGGTGGATCACTTGAGGTCAGGACCAGCCTGGCCGACATGGTGAAATCCTTTTCCTACTAAAAAAAAAAAAAAAAAAAAAAAAAAAAAAAAAAAAAAAAAAAAACAAAAAAATTTAGCAGGGCGTGCCTGTAATCCCAGCTAATTTGGAGGCTGAGGCAGGACAATCACTTGAACCTGGGAGGCGGAGGCTGCAGTGAGCCGAGAGATCGCGCCATTGCACTCCAGCCTGGGCAACAAGAGCGAAACGCCGTCTCAAAAAGAGAAAGAAAAGCAAGAGACACCCAACCCGACAAGCCTAAGTTTTAAAATAAGTCCTCCCCGTTCCCTCCTCTCCTTACCCGGACACCTGCCCATCGGCCTCCTGTGATCTTCTTCAAGCCAGGCCTTCTCCGCTCTCCACTAGCCCTGCCCGGGACCCTGCCCTCGCTCAGCCTCGACCTTCTGCCTCTGCTCCAGTCTCTTAGTCTGGACTTCGCCCTCTTCTTAGACTGTCAGTCTAGTCTAGAGCTCCTTAAAATCCTTCCTGCCCGAGCTTCACTCTCCTCTGCCTAGACAAGAGTGGGACTGACTACCAGCTATAGTTTACAAAGGAGGAAACTGAGGCTCGGTAACGCTAAATCACTTGCCCAAAGTCCCTAGGCCTGTCTGATCCCAGAGCCCAGTCTCTTGACCACAACTTGACCTCTACTCTGCAAGAAGCAAAGCACACAGTAGTAGTACTTCATGAGTTAGTCCAGCATCAGAGGGAGGCACGAGGTCCAAGATGTTGTCTCTACTTCATTAATGAGATAAGGTGCAGGCTGAGGGTCTCCTTCGCCCCGCCCCAGTTCCGGTGCCAATTCCCCCTTCACCATTGGGGCAGGTCCTCGGGCCCTGTAAACGCGGAGCCACGCCCCCACGTGCGTTCGCCTCTGCGCGATGCTTTATGGCCTCGGCGGCCCCCGTAGCTCCGCCCACTGGGGAAGCGGCTTCAGAGCGCCTGCGTCTTCGTGATCGGCATGAAGCCACCTCCCAGGCGGCGAGCGGCCCCGGCGCGCTATCTGGGCGAAGTGACCGGCCCCGCGACCTGGAGCGCTCGCGAGAAGCGGCAGCTACTGCGACTCTTGCAGGCGAGGCAGGGTCAGCCGGAGCCGGACGCTGCTGAGCTGGCCCGGGAGCTGCGTGGACGGAGCGAGGCTGAGGTGAGATGCAGTTCTGGGGACCGGAGCGAGGCTGGAGGCGGGGCTAGGGTAGGGCGGGGAGTGGGAGAAGCTGCAGCAGGCGCAAGCGGGACGGGGCCAGGAATATAGGCGGTCGGGGGCGGGGCGTGAGGCTGAGGTTGGGGGCGGGGCGTGGGGCTGAGGTTGGGGGGACGTCAGTGGGTGAGCTTGGGCGGGGCGTGGGTGGGAAGAGAACGAGGCCTGGGGGCGGGGTATAAGTGAAGCGGAGGGGCGGGGCGATGCTGGGGGCGGGACGTGCGTGCCGCTGAGGGTTGGACTGTGGGTGGGTGTTTGGGGGCGGGGCGGGGCGAGAGCAAGCCTTAAGGTTGAGGCGAGCTTTAGCGTAAGAGGCGGGCGGGGCATAAGCGAGGCAGAGGGGCGGGACGAGAACGAGACTTAAGGACCGGGCCGGTTTGGGAGTAAGGCGTGGGCGGAGCGTGGGAGGGATGAGCGCCAGCCTTAAAGGCAGGGCTAGCCCCGGAGTAAGGTGTGGGTGGGTCGACAGCGAAACTTAGGGGCGGAATGAACTGGGGATAAGATGCAGCAACTTACGTTGTTGGACCTGGTACAAGGTTGAAGTGAGAGTCAGGGAATGGGGCAGAGTGGACAAAGAAGGGAGTTGAGTAGGGTAGTAGTCAGCATAGGGTTGAGTCCTGGCTGCGGGGAGGAGCCGGAACGGGCCTGGGTCTTACACCTTCCTTAGGAAGCTGGTCACACTCTGGATGGGGCTGGGGCCTGGGCAGTCACTGGGACCCCAACACTGGACTAGCAGGAGGTAAGACGCAGTGGCTGGGCCCAGAGCAGGCAAGGCAGCGGGCTTTAGCTTTTGTGCTGCAGCCCTGAGCTCACAAAAGCCTCATTAACCCTCCTCTGCTGTCCTTCCTAGATCCGGGTCTTCCTCCAGCAGCTCAAGGGCCGTGTAGCCCGGGAGGCCATTCAGAAGCTGCATCCGGGTGGCCTTCTGGGACCAAGGCGCCAGGAGGCACAGCCCCCAGCTCCCATAGAGGTGAGGCAGATGAACAGGACGAGGCTGCCCAGGGCCGGCCCCGGGGGGTAGGTGGAAGTTGCAGGGATAACCTGGTTAGGGTATCCCCAGGAGGGGCAGGTCTTGGGTGATCCCTGCAGGCTGATCCCTGGGCTGACCTTGTACCTCTGGCTTCACTCACTCAGGTCTGGTTGGATCTGGCTGAGAAGATAACAGGGCCACTTGAGGAAGCCCTGGCAGTGGCTTTCTCACAGGTACAGCCATCCCCCCGGCAGGTCTGGGTGTCCCAGAGGACAGGGTCACATGAGCCAAATCATGTGAGCCTGGGTCCAGGGCCTTTCCCGTTGCCAGCTCTGTGGCGTCCATCAGTCACTGGACACCTGGAGCCTCAGTGTCCCTGGCTCTGAGGCCATCTGCTGTCTGAGCAGTCTGTCTAACGGTGGCAGGGAGGATGGGGGAATGTGTAGATGGTGGGAGGACTTCCCAGCTCCCCTTCCTACCTGATTGCTCTGCCTGCCAGGTACTCACCATCGCGGCTACGGAACCCATCACCCTCCTACACTCCAGGCCCCCCAAGCCCACGCAGGCCCATGGAAAGCCACTGCGCCTGAGCGTCCCTGGAGGGCAGGAAGATGCTGCCCCTGAGATACCTAGCTCCGCCCCCAAGGCACCTAGCTCTGACCCAGAGACTTCTGGCTCTGCCCCTGAGAAACCTTCTGAGTCCTTGGCTGGTCCTTCCACTGAAGACTTCACTGTGGACTTTGAGAAGATCTACAAGTACCTGTCCTCTTTCTCCCGCAGTGGCTGTGGGCCTGAGCTCTCAGCAGCTGGTGAGAATGGTGAAGGAGGGGGCAGGGGCAGAGGTATCAGAGTTCCTGGTGGCAGGCAAGGGTGTCCCCTTATCCCTCTTCTCCATCCATTGCTAGAGTCCGCTGTGGTCCTTGACTTGCTCATGTCACTTCCGGAAGAGCTGCCTCTCCTGCCCTGCACAGACCTGGTTGAGCATATGATGGAGACATACCTAAGTCTGACAGCCCCCCAGCCCAGCCCCGCTGGAGGGAGCCTGGGGCCTGCGGCTGAGGGGGACAGGGCTGCCTCCAAGGCACCAGAGGAGACCCGCCCAGCCCCCGAGAAGGCAGAGCACAGCAAACTGAAATCGCCCTGGCAAGCAGCTGGCATCTGCCCCCTGAACCCTTTCCTGGTGCCCCTGGAGCTTCTGGGTCGGGTGGCCACCCCTTCTAGGTGAGGGGCATGGTGGGCAGCAGGCACACCAGGCCCCCTGCTCTGGGCCTTGGTTCTGCTCAGCTGGCACTGGCTCGTTCTGAGGACCCTGTCATGGGGGAAGGTGATGGCGCTCAGCTGTGGGGTGGGCCTCAGATGTCCCATCCTTTAGGGGTCCCAGAAGTGGAAACCCCATTGTACAAGGGTTTGGTGGGGGTTACAGGACTCCACTCACTAGCTGCCTGACCTCCAGGACAGGCAGACAAGGCTGTGCCTTGTTCTCTACAGGGGGCCATAGCTGGCAGTGCACACCATAAACCCCCAAGCACAGGTTCTTCCTTCTTGTACCTCAGGACCAGCATCCCACCTTCTTCAGAAACTGACCAGTCACAGGTACTCCCTGCCAGCAAGGTTCTTCCCCCTCCTGGGGGTGTTCTGTGACCATGAATAAAGTTCTTACCAATCTGCTTCCTTCTCTTTTGCCTGTGACTTAAAGGTGGGCGTGGGGGCCCTAAAGTGCCAGAGCTTGGGGTTACAGGGCTGGGGTATGAACCAGGGAGGAGAGCTGCCATCCCATCTGGCCTGATAAGGCCTGGGGTGAGGAGCCCTTTGGCAACTGTGGAGGTGACAAGTGGATGGGAAGAGGAGAGCCAGCAGGGTATCTCGGGGACAGGTGTCAGGGATGGGTTTCAGAGTAAGGCAAAGTCACATTGCGCAGATGGAGGGGAGAAGCCAGCAGAGTGGGGTGGCCTGGTGAGAGGAGTAGTGCCCCAGGCTGGGCGATTGGAAGAAGGTAGGGGTGGGCTGCCCCAAGTGGCAGGAGGCTGGAGGGAGGGAAGTGTGTCCCCTGGGGTGGCCTTGGGACCTCAAGGTTCGCTAGAAGTGGGGAAGGATGGGCACTGGAATTGGGGCTGACCCTAAATCCCTGCGGGTGCTGCTGGGTCCCACCTGGGGCCCCTCCATCAGTTTCACCTGTCCTGTGGGTGTGGACTGAGGGTCAGGTCTGGGGGAGGGAAGCAGATGTCCTCCCACGGCACTTCGCCCAACGCCCGGCTAGTCGTCCAAGTCAGTAAATTTGCTGTTGTGGAACCTGTGCATTCACCAAGCCTTCCTTTTATAGAAACACTCGTTCCTCCCAACACACACTACACACAGCTCCCCCAGGCTGCACATCTCCTGGGAGGGCCTTGGAGCCAGCCCACTCCATCCGATGGCGGTCACTGTCCCACCGTGCCAGACCCATAAACGCTGCCAATGGTGGTGGACAGGGGGAGGAGGTTTGGGCTGCAGGTGCGGTCCTAGCCTCCCTCCAGGGCTGGTGTAGGGTGCTTCTCCCACCTCCCCGCAGGGTTGAGTATCTCTCACCACCCCCAGGTCAATACAATTGTGTGTGGAGAGGGAGTGGGGAGCATGGAGATGGTTACACACCAGCCCCCACAAAGCTGGGTGAAAGGTGCTTGTGATCTTGGTGTCTTTGCATCTCTGGGAAGCTTTAGAAACATGCAGAAGCCAGACCTGGGTTCCACTTCCAGCCCTACCAGACTGGGCTAGTCACGAGCTGCCTGGCCCTCAGTCCCTGAGCTTGTAGAATAGGAATGCTAACGGGGCCTGGCTCATTCTCACGATCTCTAAGGGGAGACACGCTATAAACAGGAGGCGCCAACTCAGCACGCTGCTTGGCATGCAGTAAGCGCTCAATAATAGCTTTTATTATCATCTTCGGCTCAGAGGCAGGGAGGAATGGAACGGCATGGGAGGGCTGCGGGAGGAGTGGCAGGAGAATCAGGAGGAAGTGGCAGGAAGGCGGATGGGGGGCAGCGGTGGGCACCGGGGCAAGGCGCGCTGACCTGTCCTGGGGCCCGGGCTGGGGGCAGGAAGGTGCCTGCCCGCGTTCTCCCGCCATGGCAGGCGCCACGCATCCTCGACGCAGCCGCCATGGCAGGCCTTCCGGCTCCGTCTCCAGGACAGGCTGTGCAGGGCATATTGGTATGCAGTGTCCACCCCGTGGGCCCAGGAGAGCCTGCCCCGCAGGGCCAGAGCCCAAGGACGGGCTCAACACTCAGTCAAGGTGGGGTTGACGACGGCCAGACGGCAGGGGAGAAGGGACAAGAGGGTCCCCACTTCCAGGAACGCACAATAGCAGAGCCACTTAAACGCTGGGGAGGGAGCGGTGCGGGGTCTTCCTCCCTCCCGGGATTCAGAGTCGGGGTGGGGCAAGCCGGGCGGGTGAGATGCGCAGAGAGGAAGGGACAGGGCGGATAAAGGCACGAGGTGGGGCTCCGGCCAGGCCAGGAGGGGACATGAGAGGGGTCTCGAGGGGGAGGGGCTGAGCTTCTCCCAACTCCCTCCCCAGTCCGGGCTGGGGGCTCCGGGGAGGGATCCTGAGGGTAGTCCTGGCCCCGCGGCGCCCCCCGCCCGGCCGGGCCTAGGAGACCCCGCGCAGGGCCGGCTGGGGGGCGCCGCGCCCCTCACACTAACGCGTAGTCGAACTGCCCGCGCTCGAGCGCCTCCTTGTGGTCGGTCCAGGACGAGGCGGGCATGCGGCTGTAGGGGTCGAGCAGGATGCGCACGCAGCGCACCATCAGCAGCACCAGCACCACGAGCAGGCAGAGCACGAAGGCGAACACCGTGCGCTGCTCGGCGTCCAGGCCCGCGCCCACCGGGGGCCCCGTCGACGGCGGCAGGGGCTCCGGTGACAGAGTCCACGTCGCGCTCATGGCTCACATCGCCGCGCGCCCTGCGGAGGAGGGGACCCGCCCGGGGCGCCGGGGCTGAGGCTGCGCCCTCCCTCCCGCGCCTCCTCCACTTCGCCCCCTCCTGCCGCCGCCGCCGCCGCCGCTCCCCTTACCGTGCCCGACCCCATCCCCCGCCCGTGCCTGAGTTCCCGGGCTACGCCCATGCCCGGCCAGCCGGATCGCCGCCACCACCACGCGGGGACCCAACTCCGGCCGTGAGCGCAGGTGGGGGCGCTGAAAGCAGGGAGAGGGAGCCGCACCCGGCCCGAGCCGCGCACAACAGGTGCGAACGCGCGGCCGCCGCCAGGGCGCGCGGCGTGGAGATGGTCCCTGCTCCCCACTCCCTTTGTTCTCGGCGGCCCGGGACCCCCTCCCCCACCGTTCCCGCCCAGGCGCGCCCCTCACCCTGGCTGCGACCTGGACTAGGACCGACGGCCCGGCGGCCGCACTCTCTCCGGGACCCGCGCGGGCTCCGCGTTCGGCCTCTCCCCGGCGGCGGCGGCGGCGGCGGTGGCGGCGGCCTGGGCTCTGGCGCAGCCCACCCCACCCGCCCCTGGAGCGGCGGAGACCGAGGCAGGCAAGCAGCGCGCGAGCCGGGCCGCCGCGGCTGTTCCCATGGCGACGAGGGCGGGGCCGCCGCGGGGGGCGGGGAAACGGGGGGCGGAGGCTGCGCAGGGAGCGGCGCACGGGCCCGCGACCCCGCCCCGGCTTGCGGGAGGGCCGAGTCCCCGCCCCGGCGACCCGCGAGCACCCGGGACCTCGCTGGGGCGTGGGCAGCTGCCACTCCCACCTCCAATGCCATCTCGGACGCCCCATCCAGCCTGCGCCTGCATTCTCCTCCACCATAGACCCCACTCCAGACTCCCTGTTTGGGAAGGGGACCTCAGTGTCCCTAAAACACTCATATGGGCACTCAAGCTCCCCAGGCCCTGGGGACCTCAATCCTCAGAGAGCTCCGGCAGGTCACTGTGACCAGCAAGGCCCCTAGTTTTGTCTGTCACTGGCCTCCTCCCTAGAAACAGGGTCCAGCCCTGGGCACAGCATCCACACGCTGCGGCTGCAGTTCCTTGCTCGACCTTGACAGCCTCCCAGAGCAGCCGCCTGCTCTCACCCCCAACCTCACTACGGCCACTCCCGCGCCAGGGAAGACACTTTAGACTCCGGAGCTGCTCTTCTGCACTTCGGTGTTTTATTCTTTCCAAATCTCAGGCTTATGCACAGGTTGGAAGAGCATTGTTAAAATAAAAAATGGACCTAAAGTGGCTTGGCTGAGATGGCCAGTGGGCCACTGAGTGGTGGGGCCCAGGTCCCACCCTGCTGCTGGGGGAGTCCCTGGAGCCTCTTGGCACTATGTGGCCTGTGTGCACCCCGGGTGACCAGGTCCGGGACCCCTGCAGGGCAGAGCGACAGGGCAGGGGCCGACCCTAGGGGGAGTGTCTCCAGTCGCAGGGAGAGTATCTCTAGCAGCCACCCGCCACCCACTCCCCAGCCAGCTGCTCCTGCATCCATTCTGGCAGAGCTGGGGGCAGAGCCTAAAGTCTTGTTCCCAGAGGTCTGGAGTTGCCGCAGGTGGTATCACGGTGCCTCTGCGCCTGATGACCCAGCCTGGGGCTCCTTGGCTTCCAGGCCATACTCAGAGGATCTGCTCTGTGCTGGAGGCTGAGATGTCCAGGAGCCGCCAGGCTGCATAGGGGTTGAGCTCATCCTGGTCTCGGCAGAGTGCCCACACGTACAGCATCCGCAGCACCTTGTCCTGTGGGGTGGGAGTGGCATAGTTTAAAGACGTGCAGGGACCCAGGCAGCTCTGGGAGGGGCCAGGCTCTGTGGGGCAGGAGCCACCCACAACCTCCCCAGGGGCTGGGAGCAGAGGCCAGCACAGCCGCCTCGACTCAGGAAGCACTCAGGTTTTGGTAAGGACGGGTCTGCTGGTCTCTGACCTCCCTCAACCCCAAACTCTGGCTCAGGTTTCTCCGTATCCCCACCTGGTCCCAGAGCTTCCAGCTCTGAGCTGGTGTCCCTGCCGGGTGGCCACACATACATCCTGGGGACAGGCAATGCTGTGCCTGCCCAGTCCCACTCCCTCACTCACCGGGTCACCTTCCACCACCTCGCCTTTGGGGTTCCTGACCAGCATCACCAGCTGCGCTTGGAAGGTGATGATCAGCACTGGCCCTTGCTCCATCATCTTGCCCATGGCCAGCTGCAGAGGGGCCAAGAGGGCGGGTGGGCTTCAGAGGACTGCCCAGCTGCTCCCCTGGAGGTGGAAACCCCTGCACCCAGGCCCTGCTGGGAGAAGGCTCCAGTACCAGGCCCAACACCACCCCCTCCCCCTGGGCCCTGCCCCTTAGACCAGGCCTCCCTCAAGACCCTCCACTCAGACAAGCCAAGGCCTCTGGAATTGGAACACAGCCCCCAGCCCCTGGCAAGGCCACCTCCTGGGCCCTGTCTGGGCCAGAGTCCCCACCCCTGATGGTGGCCCAGGCCCTGGAGAAAGAGGTGCTCACATCAACGTTGTCGATGTCTAGGATGCGAGAATGGAACTGGAGGCCCAGCGCCTTGGCCTGCTGGATGGGGTGGGCCAACTGGCTATAAGTCTGCAACGAGAGACCAACCCACCTGTATGATGCCACCCAGGGCAGGCGCCATGCCACACAGAGCCACTGCCCACACACCCTGGCGCCCAGGTGCCCTGCTGCCAGCCAGCAATGGCAGAGGCCAAGAACTCAGGTCCAAGCGGGGAGGCAGCACCACCCACTTACTGGCCCAGATCACACATTTCCCTCTCCTGGGAACGGCACTCTCTCCACATGAACCAATGAAATCAGGATTAATCAGCAAAGTGGGTGATTCTCTTGGAACAAAATCCCAAATCCACTCCCAGGGCTAAGCGGGCGGCCCCTTGGCTGATCTCTAATACTTTCATATTCACCGCACTCTGAATCTTGGCCTGAGATCAAACGCCTCTTCTAGGATCTATCCTCAGCCTGAGGCTGGCTCTGTCACTGACCAGCCCCCAGTGTCACCCTCAACCCCCTTGTGCCTGCGCCTGCGCCTGCGCCTGAGCCAGGCACCGGAAGCAGCCCCCGAGACACGTTTTCACTGGAAGCTTCTCTGGACTTGGCATGAAACCGTAACAGAGAAGATGTTCTGATAGCATCTACTTTTTATGGAAATGACTGATCTGCTGAGGAGAGGGAAAAAAAAAACAAAGAAACCCAGCCAATCCTAATTGTTCGGTTTCTTAAAGGTGACATTTTAAAAACAACACCTCTGTGGACGTGGCTGGACCTTCAGCTGTGTTTTCGGGGGCACCAGGAGCTCCCTGGCAAAGCGAGTCAGCTGTGGCGTGATGATCCCAAGGTAAAAACAAAACCAAAAGCCAAAAAAAAAAAAATCCACATCGAAACTCATAAATGCCTGCTGGATTAGTCACCATGCAGGGGAGTATTTAAAAAGAAAATCTGACATGTTCTCCTCTGCGTTTTCCAAGTTGTTTATGAGCTGGGTACAGAACAGAATTAGCCAAGAAAGATTCTGGATCGCTTAATACGAAGAAGCTGGGGCAAGAAAGCACACAGGTCAGGGAGCGAACAGGGTGAGACGAGGTGGCGTGAAGACACAGGAATTGGGAGCCCCACAGGGATGGTGACAGGGGCAGGGATGGGGAGGCTGCCAGGGATGGGGAGGCTGCCAGGGATGGGGCCAACAGCTGGGCACGGTGCTGCCAGTGGCCCCAGGACCCCAAGCCTTGACTCCGAGAAGTAGCTGGGGCCTCATCAGGACACACAGCTCTTTCCCGGTGTGCAAAGACTGTCAATGTTTTGTTTTGATCTGTGTTTCAGGATCGTGTCATGAGGACAGCTAATGGGTGTGAGACACTCAGCACACCCTGGAGGCTCCCGGGGCCTGTGCCCCACAGGTAGGGGCTAAGAGTCACTGCGGAAAGTTCCCGCCATCTTTCCAGGGCTGTCTGGTTGCCAGGGTTACTTTTGTGGGTTTCTTCTGGCCGGGGGCCAGCACTGCCCTGGTTTCTGTGACCACACTTCATTGTCACAACCCCTGGGAGGTGAGCACAGGGACTCTGCTCTGGCCTGAGAAGTGGGGTGGGTGACACGTTCAAACCCCACTTGGCTCCCACGCCCCCCAGTCACGTGTGAGACACACATTCACCCTGACCCCCGGCCCCAGCCCGAATCCCAGGCCACTGCAGCCACCTGAAACAGGGTAGTCAGGCCCCACTGGAGACCTCGTTTTATTTCATGGCTACAGTCACCTCTCCTGGGACTCCCCTCACTAAAATTATTATTATTATTATTTGAGACAGTGTTGCTCTGTCACCCAGGCTGGAGTACAGTGGTACAATCTTGGCTCACTGCAACCTCTGCCTCTCGGGTTCAAGCGATTCTCCTGCCCCAGCCTCCTGAGTAGCTGGGACTATAGGGCACCTGCCACCAGGCCTGGCTTCTTTTTCTATTTTTAGTAGAGATGGGGTTTCACCATGTGGGCCAGGCTGCTCTTGAACTCCTGACTCAGGTGATACGCCCACCTTCACCTCCCAAAGTGCTGGGATTAACAGGCGTGAGCCACCGCGCCCAGCCTACTATTTCCTTAATAACAATAGGTGACAGTGTCTTGCTCTGTCGCCCAGGCTGGAGTGCTGTGGTGTGATGACTCTCTATAGCCTTGACCTCCTGGACCAGGTGATCCTCCCTCCTCAGTCTCCCGAACAGCTACGACAACAGCTACCTGCCGCCACACTTGACTCTTTTTTTTTTTGGATACAGAATCTTGCTCTGTCACCAAGGCTGGAGTACAGTGGCATGAGCTGGGCACACTGCAACCTGTCTCGCAGATTCAAGCGATTCTGCATCAGCCTCCCCAGTGGCTGGGATTACAGACGTGCTCCACCATGCCTGGCTGTTTATTTTAGTAGAGATGGGATTTCACCGTGTTGCCTAGGCTGGTCTCAAACTCTTGAGCTCAGGCAATCATCTGCCTTGGCCTCCCAAAGTGCTGGCATTACAGAGCCACCAAGCCCTGCCACTTGGTTCATTTTAAATTAGTTTGTAGAGACAGGATTTTGGTATGTTTCCCAGGCTGGCCTTCAACTCCTGGGCTCAAGTGATCTCTCACCTTGCCCTGCTGGGACTGCAGTCACGGGCCACTACGCCCAGACCTAACCAAAATTATTTTAAGATTGGAGGAAGGCTGGGCACGGAGGCTAACGCCTATAATCTCAGCACTTTGGGAGACCAAGGCAGGCAGATCACGAGGTCCATGAGACCATCCTGGACAACATGGTGAAACCCTGTCTCTACCAAAAAATACAAAAATTAGATGGGTATGGTGGCACATGCCTGTAGTCCCAGCTACTCAGGAGGCTGAGGTAGGAGAATCCCTTGAACCTGGGACGCAGAGTTTGCAGTGAGCCAAGATCATACCACTGCACTACAGCCTGGTGACAAGAGCGAGCCTCCATCTCAAAAAAAAAAGACTGGAGGGAAAAAAAGACCCAGTAAAATTGGCAGCTTTGTGACCTCTCACGAGCATGGGGGACACCCCCAGCCATCTCTTAGACACAAGCCCAGAGAGGGATTATCCCTGAGGAGTTTAGTCTGGAAGCAGAGGACTGGCGGGTGACACGGTGCCTAGCCTGAGAGCCCAGATGTGTCACACGCTGAGGAATAGGAGGCGGGGCGGGGCGGGGCGGGGTGGGGTGGGGTGTCAGGCACTGGAGAGACAGGAGGATCCCCCCACCGGGAGCCCAGGTTCTGTCTGTTGGGAGTTACCCCAACAGAGCCACTGAAGCAGAACTTCTCCATGGTAATTTTTTAGGCCTTAAAGAGAAAAAAAAATTACTCACAGCTTCATAGCACCAGTCTTTGAGAATGTCAAGCTCTCCAGAAATCATAGCCTAAAAAGGAAAGAGAAAAGGAAGTGCCAGAAGGACAGTGGGCTATTAAGGCATCAGGCAAAGTCCTGAGAACATTCTCCAGTGGTTCTCAGGTAGGTGGGCTGCCTGCCCTTCTACCTGGCCAGGCGCAGAGGCCCCTCAACCGAGGCCCTAAATTATGGAGGCAGGCGGTGGTGGTAGTGGGTGGGGGGGTTTCTTGGATACCCCTGGCTGCCACCTGTGAAGTGTGGGTGGAGCTGTGGCACTGGGTGTCCCTCCCTAGGCCCTGGGAGCCAAGACCCTGATGGTGAGTGCCTGGCTCTCCTGGGTGCAGGTGGAGGGCAGGCTGCAGGTGACCACCCAGGA